TGGATCATATACTAAAACTAAAAAGCATATAGCATTACAAGCTACTAGAGCAATGTATAGTTTAATAAGAAACTCAAATCGACTTAGTTTACCAATTGATATCCAAATAAATCTTTTTAATAAAACAATAAAACCTATTCTTCTTTATGGGGCGGAAAAATGGGGATATGGTAATATAGAAGTGATTGAACGAGTCCAATTAAAATTTTTAAAGTATATTTTAAATATGAAAAGATCCACTCAAATTATATGGTGTACGGAGAAACAGGCTGCCTGCCGCTATCTATTGACCAATTAAACATTTACCTTCTGCTCTATGCGGATGACTGCATACTATTGAGCGAAACCCCGGAAGGAATGCAATCACATCTCGATTTGCTATATAACTATGGTGTAAAATGGAGATTAACCGTCAATGTAACGAAAACAAAAATTATAGTATTCAAAAAAGGTAACGGGCGTGTGAGAGATAACGAAACATGGACATATAACGGCAACGGGATAGATATAGTCGAATCTTTCAACTATCTGGGCTACGTACTAAGCAGTAATGGTTCGGCGAAACGGGGCATTGATGCCCTTGCATCAAAGGCTATAAAATCCATGAACAATTCACTATCGGTAACAAAAGACATAGAAATGCCAGTTAAGATAAAATTCAACCTATTCGACGCATATGTTACTTCCATTCTTTGTTATAGTGCTGAAATATGGGGTTTTTCATCCGCAGAAGTAATAGAACGTGTACACCGAAAATTCATTAAGCGAGTCCTAAATGTGAAACTATCGACAAGTAGCCATGGCATATACGGTGAAACGGGTAGACATCCACTAGTTCTTAACAGAAAAGTTCGAATTGTTAAATTTTGGTTGAAACTTTTACACAACGGACAACGGAACTGTATAATATGGAATGTGTACGAATCTATGTTAAAACAGCTGAAAATGGACTGCAAAACTGGGCCTCAAAAGCGAAGAAACTACTTGATGTATGTGGCTTTGGGGAAGTATGGCTATATCTACGTTCGGTAGATATTAACGCGTTTATACCAATATTCAAACGAAGATGTTATGACATATATGTTAGTGAATGGAGAGTGTGTACGCGAAGTAGCCCAAGTATCATGTTATTTAATAGTATTAAACAAAACTTTGGAATGGCAGATTATTTAACATTGATGGAAAATAAGAAATATAGAAATGTAATAACAAAAAAACGTTTGTCCTCTCATTGCCTTGAAATTGAACAAGGTAGGCATAGGAACATTCCTAGGAACGAGCGTCTGTGTAAATTATGTCTTCAACGAACAACAGAAGATGAATTCCACTTTATATTAGAATGTCCGGTGTATAATAACATTAGAAGACAGTATATACCACATTGGTACAGAACAAGGCCAAATATGATTAAATTCATTGATTCATTATCATCCAGTGATGTGCAAATTTTATACAGACTGGCAAAATATCTAATCAAAGCATTTGAAGAAAGAAAGACTCTCTTAAATACAAATAGTTAATTAAAATACTTAACTTAAATACTGTGTCATATGAAATAACAATTACCAAGTTTGACATTTTCGTTATCATAATTGTATATGAATAGTCAGAAATAGCAAAGCCGAATATCTCAAATCTATCGAAAATATGTAGACTTTGTATTTATCTTTGATACATTGATTCATTATTGTATATGCTCTCATTACATACTTTTATGCATGCATGTAAAATATTATTGTTTAATCAATATGCTGTTCGCATACGATTTATTAATAAGCTTATGTTCTGTTCTGTTCTGATATAAACGAAAGAATAATCATGTTTTGGGCTAGATTAAAAAAGCACGATGTAAATAATCATCAAAAGAAATTGTCGTCTCTATAATACAATATTACATATAATCTTTCAAAAAAACTTAAGTGAAAATAATTTGAGAAAAAAATTTCCTTGGATTGCAAACTTAGGACAAATTTTTATAAATTGCGGTTTATGTAATATATGGGATACACAAAATTTTGGAAACGAGAAGTGGTTAAAATTAGCAATTAGACAGAAACTAAAAGATATTTTTCTAAATGATTGGTATTCCGTTATTCAAAACTCTAGCAAAAGTACATTCTACAGAATATTCAAAAAAGAATTTAAATTCGAAAAATACCTTTTATCAACCCCTTAACCTTTTCTTCGTTACATGATAAAATTTCGTACACGTAACCATAGATTACCAATAGAAACCGGAAATTGGGCCCGAATACCAATCAATCAAAGAACATGTACTTCTTGTAACAATAAAATAGGCGACGAATTTAATACTTATTTGAATGTGTTTTGCTTAATGATGAAAGAAAGAATTTTTTGAAACCCTATTATTACAGACGTGCAAATACATTCAAACTAGAACAACTAATTAATACAGAAAACAAGAGCGAATATTTGAAATTATGTAAATTTGTTAAAACAATAATTTTAAGATAATCAAATTAGTATTCACCTCATATGTGATTACTTACATTACATTCCAAGACTATTACACGAATATTTCACAGATTAATCTTTTATTACCCATAGTAAATTTTAAGTGTTTGTTTGTTATAATATTTGTCTAAATAGTATGACACTTTTTTCATTTAGCTTGTTAGTATGAGTCTATAAATGTCATTGTAAAGGTTTAAAATATTATGTCGTACATAATTGTACATCACTTGTCAGTTGTTTATATTATTATTTCTTTTCCCTTTTTCTTTTTTGTAACTATTCTCATCGTTTGTCGATAAATAAAAAGAAAGGTAATATAAAACGAAATTATACCCTTAGAGAGTGTCTAAATTACGTGACTCTCCACGGTTTTTTGTGGTAACATATTTACTAAGAACTTTAACAATTTGTGGTTTTGATACATTGTTAATTGAACGTACTGCAGTTCAGCAAATGATATGAATAAATACTCTTTTTACGAATTATTTTACCACTCAAATTATATAATTATACATTGTACATTTGTTTAAAGAGCCTCTACTAACATTGTACTTATTACTAACCACATTTATTCATGTTAACATGAAATGTGTGTAATAAAGGAAATTTGACTTGACTTGACTTGACTTGGCGATAGGACTTAAAGAGGGTTGTTATCGCAAGTTAACCCACGGTGATAGCCTCAGGGAATACAGTAAAGATCAAACGACCCACGGTGATTGGCCTTTAAGAGGGTTGTTATCGCAAGTTAACCCACGGTGATAGCCTCAGAGAATACAGAAAAGCTCTAACAACCCACGGTGATAGGCCTTTAGGGGGCTCTTATCTTAACTTAATCCACAGTGATAGCCCTAGGGATACAGTAAAAATCAAACGACCCACGATGAAAGGCCTATCTAATGCACTTTTTCCTTTATGAGGTCTACTTGTGTGTGTGTGTGTGTGTGTGCGTGCGTGCGTGCGTGCGTGCGTGTGTGTGCGTGCGTGTGCGTTCGCGCTAGTGCGTGTCATATTTACACAGCCAATAGCTTTGAGTTTTGCTCCAGAGTAATATTATTAAAAAAATGAAAACACAAAACAAAGGGCAATAACTCCGAGATCCTGCTAAAGAAAGTTAAATTTCTTGTGCATTGCACCTTTCGTTGTTAAGCTATTCTCATTTATGATTTTATATTGATACCACTGTTTTGCTCCGAACGAAAAATCAGCCGGTCGCATGAATAAGCCCGGTGTACTGCTTTTTAACCGCTTACCAATACAACCATTATTACTTCGCTATAGAAAACCTTTTAATTCAAATTAATATTCTCGTATCATATTTTTTTTATAAAGGTTCAGTTTAAGTCATTACTAAACACGTTTAGATCCTCTTAATAAATACACTATTATTCAATTTTACATTTATAACAAATAGTAACAGTACCCGGGACCTTATAGCTCGTCGTGCCTGTCAATATTAAAAATCACCCTTTCATTTTAATAATAAAATGGAAAAGATCAATACCCCCTTTCAAATCGTATCATCACGGGGCTTATTTTAGATTAATTTCTCTTTGAGCGGTGTTTTTTATGTTTCTGTGTATTCAATGGTATTTCAGCCTCTCTGCTACGGAATGACAAGGGCGAATATCGATCTGCGCATTTTCTGTATTTAGTTCACATTCAAATTGATCAGTTGTAATTAGTAGAATGAGCAGCACGTGCGAGGTCCACGTGCTGGGTCACGTGATGTAGGACGCACACATACAAACTTGATTTGAATTACTTTCGTTAAGTTATGGTCTTACATGTCATATTTTGCATTAATTTTTTAATTATTATCATTGTAGTGTGGTGGAAAAGTAAATAAAATAAAATATAAAACCCACCTTCGGCAAATATATATATACGAGTACTAAGTAGTTCAGTCTTCTTTTCTTTTTTAAAAAAAAATAGTATTAAAGCCACACCCTATAGACAAATAGAGTTAAAGCTACGCACTGGGATGCACGCCTCTAAAAAAATAATAGAAATGCTTTGAAAAATTGATAAAACCCAATTTTAAGTGTCGCTGCAACAAACTTTAATAAAGTTGTGATACATCTATGGTTCGATTTAAAAAGATTATTTGAATGAACACACCTAGCAAATTCAAATTGATGGAGATTTTTTTTCTATTTTATATTTACATGAAGGGCGCGTGACACAACTTTGTACCTTTAAAGTACCATTTGTTCGTTAAAAACTCAATATTTTTCTATACGTATATCGACGCTTGCATATATGTACTTTAGATACCTTGTTTACTTAGAGACATAAAGTAAACTTTAATGCATTGGAAAAAAGATAAATGAGAAATAATTCTGATTTGCAAAGATTTGAATAAATGAGAGAGAAAAATGTATTATATGGCGCGTATTGATCCGAAATAAAATAGTCCTGGCATTGTTAATTTTATATTGTAATGATGAGAAAAATAACAGCCGATATTTGGTTATCTATGACAAATAATTTCGTAAATTATGTTTTTATTATTTACATTAGTCGCATATATCGATCTCAGAGCGTTTGCGAGATACATTTTCCCTCTCAGACTATCATGATTCCCCTGGAATAAAGTATTAGAGCCAAGTCGTCTGTAATGATGCGAATCGATCTTAATAGACGCTTGGTATCAGTAAAGCGCCTTCGCCAGACATTTTGCATTCTGTACATAACAGAGATCGATTTGCGCATTATGAGATAGGAAAAAAAAGTGAAAGGAATAAGTTGATGATGAAATCTTTTACTGATGTAATTTGGGATGAAAGTTTGTGGTTCCCGGGAGTGTTTATGGGGAAATCGTATGGCTGGAAGGATTTACGCAACGAGCCGGAATCAAGCATCTACCTCCCTCAGATTTGGGATCTGCATTGGTGTATCGTCGTCGGCGTTAGCTTTGTCTTTCTTAGGGTCATCGTGGAAAGGTAAACAATATACATGTATAATATACAATTAAATTTCATCTTTGAAGGCTTTTATCTAATGTTGCAAACACATGTTGCCCAGCCCATTCGCTTATCAGTTTTATATTTATTTAGAATATACGTGAATGTGTGCTATATTAAAATATATTTAATAAACTAATTATTTTTCACAGAATGTTGTTTAAATTATCTAAATTCTATGTTTATAAAAGAACACATTTATCCAAAATACCTACGTTTGATATACATGTATTTGGTAATTATGATCATGTATAATTACTTGGTACATAACATTATCAGATTATTTTCGCAACGAAAATTACAAGCATTCATATTGCGTTCATATTCGAATGTTCGTGCTTAATTATCGGTCACTAAAACTACACATGGTTTAATTAATCGAGTCACTTTGAATTTATAGAAGATAGTACAGCTACTCTTTTTCACAATGTTCAGCTTTGTCTTCTTTGACGTGTATATAGATGCTTAATATCGAAAACTAGGCCTATTTTATATATCACAAACTCCTCCGCCAACCCCCCCCCCCCCCCACTGAAGACCCCCCTCACCCACCCGCGCACTAACCCATCAAATTTTTTTTAGAAAAATAATAAAAATAATAATAACAATAAATTGTATTTGAAGTTGTCAAGGGAAGAGTATGTTAAGAACAATTTCATCAAGTAAAAGCATGAAGTGTACATCGAAATACAAAATAACTTTATGTTCTATGAGTTTGAAAGTCAAAGTCTAAGAGTCAAAGATATTGGTCTTTAATAATGCAATGTTGATATACCTCTTCAATATCAAAGATGCTATATTGAGTAGAAAGCTATAAGCTTATAGGCCGACTTTCGAATCCGTTCCTGAAACCAACCAGTAACTGAGCAATGAGTGTAAAGTTTCTTGCTCAAGGAAACAACGACTAGCCCCTGACGGGGTTTGAACCCATGCAGCTAGCGATCATTAACCACTCGGCCATGCCGCTCAATATATTTTTAATATTGTTATTCATGCGATATGTTATATATAAATAACAATAAGAGTTGAAAATCGAACATTTGTGAAATCACGGTCTAGTGACATAGTTCTATACGATTCAAACATGTACAAGCTGTTCGTACGAAAAAAAGAGCTTTATTCGATCATATAGCCATTGAATTCGTCTATAGTTTAGTTACATTTATCCCCATTGTTTTCTCTCCACAAAAATCGATTGGACCATTCACTTTGTTTAATATTTGCTGTTTTTTTTTTATTTTTTCATCTGTAATCAAGCGGTTGATTGCTGACGTCAAAAATGAATTGTATTAAATTTTAATGACAGGACGTCTATATATATCATTTTAAAGGGAGAGTGGTTGGCAGTTAAAGCGACTTTGTTGGCATTGTTCATGAAGTATTAATACATAAATACTAATAAAACAATGTATAAATAAACTTTGTGTCACATAACGTGTAAAAATAGACTTTAAGTAAAATGTTTTCTGTTATATTTGTAAAAAAAACCTCAGTGGAGTCCCTTTAAGCGTCAATGTTGTTCAATAAGAATATACAGTATTGTAAGTATCGTCATATTTTCATATAAGTACTTTATTAATTAATTGTTATTGAACAATTCTATGAGGCAAATTAAGACTCCAGAAAATAACTAATTGTGTTAGATGTGTGACTGACATAGTAGTAAGTGCAGAATGGATGTCGTGTCCGGTGTTCGTTCTTTTTAGAAAATATTGTATATTGTGCACCGGATTTAACCATATGTCCAAGAATTATCGGCACCCTTGTCGGCCAAGATAAGATCTCACGGCGGGGAAGTGGGTGGAGGGCGTCTTCTTAAGCTGAATTCCCTGTGTCTTTCACCAGCTCTTTCATCCGTTGTTGGTAGGACTGAAGGTTTGTAGATTTGTCCCAAAGTCTACCGATTATCTTGATTAAGAAGCAAAGATATTAAGTCGGACCTTAAAACCTTGTATCCGCTCTTATATGGTAGCCAATATATTAATATTTTTTTATCAGAACTCTTATATGTTTATTTATAGATTAATTTTAACACCTGTCGGGTATTATTTGGGAATTCCAAGAAAACAACAGTGTAAATTGACGCCAATCCCACAACTTGAGGCGGCCTATAGGAAGAACAAAATACACAAACAGAAACACGACTTCCAGGTAAGTTTGAGCCATTATTTGTACATAAGATCAAAAGATTAATGGCATTCAAGTGTTTAAGATCACTGATTTATAAACCACTTCTTGTCATTTACCGCTGATACTCTTACTTCCATAAAGAGCTTATCATTTACCGCCGTGGCTTCAACTTCCATAAAGAGCTTGTCTTTAATCGCCGTGGCTTCATCTACAATAAGTACCTTCTCATTTATATCTGTGACTCCAACTTCCATAAGGAGCTTGGCATTTACCGCTGTGGCTTCAACTTCCATTAGGAGCTTGACATTTACCGCTGTGGCTTCAACTTCCATTTGGAGCTTGACATTTACCGCTGTGGCTTCAGCTTCCATAAAGAGCTTATCATTTACCGCCGTGGCTTCAACTTCCATAAAGAGCTTGTCTTTAACCGCCGTGGCTTAATCTACAATAAGTTCCTTCTCATTTATATCCGTGGCTCCAACGTCCATAAGGAGCTTGACATTTACCGCTGTGGCTTCAACTTCTATTAGAAGCTTGGCATTTACATGTACTTCTGTGATTCCAACTTTCATTAGAAGCTTGACATTGACTTTTCCTTTACCGATGTGAATCTAACTTTCATAAGTAGCTTGTCAATTACAGATGTGGCTCCGACTTTTTTCAGGTCTGTTATTTCTAATTGTGACTCCAACTTCCAAATGTAGATTGGCATTTACCGCTGTGGCCCCAACTTCCATAATGAATTTGTCATTTCCCGCTGTTGCTCCAGCATCAACAAAGACCTTATCATTTATCTCCTATAAGTAGCTTATTATTTATCTATGTGGTTCCAACTTCCATAAAGAGCTTGCCATTTACCATTGTGGAAATATCGTTAAATTCTTTTATAAAGGGAAGCTATTCAGCAAGCTTATTGAAAGTCTTTAGTTATACTTCTAAGTTGCCAACTTGACATCATCCGAGTCCGTTCTTTTACCGGTATAATGGAAAGTCACCTGATATAAGCCCCCACCCTGCTGTTGACACCTGAATCTACCCATACTACCAGTGCAGACCAAGATCACCTGGCATATTCGCGCCATCTGATCATGGTCTGCACTGTTTAGTCAGTACTTTTTACCCCTAAAAATGATAAATGGTTGAGTCCAGATTGAAAGATGGACAAAAGAGATTAGGAATGTCAATGAAACATTAAAACATACCAATTAAACACACGAAAGGAAAAGCATAGGGCATGCATACCATATAACATGTTCATTGTAACTAATTTAGTAGAAAAGCTATCAATTATTAACACATGGTTTCTGGTTATACAAGAAAGTGTTCTTGCAAATGGATAACTTTTATTGTTGTAGTTGATATATGATATTACTTTTATCATTTTCAATATTTGAAAATATGAATTTCATGAAGAATTGAAAAACGAATAGAAATAATGATGCTGATGATGATGATGCTGATGATAATGGTGTTGATGCTGATGATGATGAAAAAATGATGCTGATGATGATGGTGGTGGTGATGATAAAAATGATGATGATGTTGATGATGTTGATGATGATGATGATAATGATGATGATAATGAAAATGATGATACGTATGAAATGAAGACTACTTTGATATCTTAACTGCGCTACTATGCAATGATGAATTTGAAGAAAAAATGTTTAAATGTGTCAGGCACAGCCAAAGCAAATAAATGAATTTGTAAAAAAATTGATCCCTCGGAACCATCAATCATAACAAAATAACATGAAAATTGTAAACTCGGTTTGTTGATGTCTGTATATGTGGGATAATGGAAAAGTGCAACATCTCTCACGCCCCTTGCAGAAATATTATTTCAATTGCAATATTCTTTTTAATAAATACAGGTTTATTTCATAAATTGTTTCAGTTACTGTCAAAGCAAACTGACCTAACAGAGAGACAAATAGAGGTGTGGCTTAAAAAACGAAAAAGGCAAGATGCCACGCCTCCTATTCGTAAATTTTGCGAAAGCGGGTAAGTACCAGCTTAAATAACCATAATTTTTATGTTTATAAACATTTATTATTATTACTCATTATTTACAACATTTGCGCTAGTGTCAGCTATAGAATATAAGTCTTTAGGTATGCACAATAAGCCATTCTGATACATAAATATTCATATAAATATAATTTTTGTCCTATTTACAAAAACAAAAGCAATGCACGAAAATATGTTTGATTTAGCTGAAATGTTTAATATTGTAAACGGAATGATAATAGATATTGCCTTTATTTGTTGATGGAAATAACATGATCTTGAATACATGTATATACTTCACATTGTAACCTTGTCATTTTCATGCGGTTCCATTCCTTATAAACGAAAATGCATAATATTTTTTGCAAAGCATCAGCAACAATATAAGAAGCTAATTTGTTTGTGGTTGTTAAGATACCGTAGAATGATCGTATAACACATCTGAATCCTTCACTTTTTTGTCATCGATTTGGTGTCTGGATACAGATGCCAAGTTTTCTTTCACTCTCTAAGGATTATTGTAAAACGAGCGTAGGATTTTCTCAATGGTGTAGACGATCTTTATTAAATATTTTTCGATGATGTAAACGATATTTATTAAATATTTGTTTTGTCACGCGAAAATTCACTAGCTGCCTTCCTACTACGGTGGCACAGAGGTGACACGTGTGTATTGTCATTTATCTCAAGCGAACGATATACTATGTCGTGCGCAAGAGTTACTATGTCGTGTGCCCGAGTTACTAAGTCGTGCGCACGAGATCAATTAGTGGTGCCCACGATATACTTTGTCATTCGCACGAGTTACTATACCGTGCGCTCGAGATCATTAATCAATAAGATAACACTAAATATATCAATTTTTAACTTAGAAAATTCCTGGTTAAAGTTTCATATGTAACATAAATCTTTGAAACTACTACATGTACTTAAGGTTTTTACTTGCCCATAGACCAGACAATAATTTTACTAAGTAATTGCCCCCCCCCACCCCCGCTTGAAAACACAGTATCTCGTAAGCACAACTTAATTATCTCGTTAGCACGACTTAGTAACTCGTGCACATCACTTAATAATCTTGTGCACAAGACTATAGTAACTCGTGTGCACGACTTAGAAACTCGTGCGCACGAGATAATTAAGTGGTGCGCATGAGATTCTATGTCGTGCGCACGAGATAAATAAACACACACATGTCACCTCTATGCCACCATATGTTTAATCGTATTTTTTTATAAGACACATGTGTTCTTTTATACCAATATCTCTTTTAATCACGACAATATCAATATAATGCGAAAGATTTTTTCAAGGCGGTAACTTTCGTTTGAACAAAAAAGCATATGTTAATTTGTATCACAGTTCGGTTTCTATGGTGATTTACTGGTGTCAGTTTTCTAAATTATTTCTAAAAATCTTATCATGTACATGTATATAGCACTAGTATATGTATTTTGACATTTTGATGACTAATTCCGCTGTAAGACAAAACAATATTTATTTTCCTTTCAAATTTGAAAAAAGAAAATTAGCAGCTGAAGCCTAAAAATATCAAATTGTTTCGACCTTTCAGATAATTTAAACTATTATGTAATGCTTTTAAAAGAAGTGACAGGAAATACTTTGTATGATTATACACCTGTTAAGTAACTTACAAGACATGAGGTTTTTTTTAACTATTAAAAACTACTAATTTCTCGAATGTCGTATAATTTTCCCAATTAATGCCAGGAGCCTGTGAAAAGGCACTGGGTGGACAGTGCTTACCATTGAGTGTACAGTATGTTCATGTTTACATGTTTAACTTACAACCATTTAAAATAATTTTTGATACCTCATTGAAAAAATGTACCAGTGATTCACCTTTAAAGTGTACAATCTATTTATTTATTCATATGAATGTTTACAAATTTCAGATGGCATTTTCTGTTCCGGACCATATCTTTTATATACGGCTTGTGTGTACTTTGGAATGTAAGTATATTACCAAATGTTCAGATACTTTTTAAATTTGTTCCTTATTATCTATGACATCCGATTTAATAATCATATTAATAACACGATATCTATTTACAATTATATATGAATCATAGTTTATCCTGCATACGCTGTTAAAGCAATATGCCTACATTTTCATGCGTTTATTCAAGAAAAATTTGAAAAATTTAATGTAAAATATTGTAAAGTGAACAAAGAAAGTAATTTATATACACATTGCGAACGTAGAGTAGAAATAAAGCGATAAATATTGCAAAATCAGTCATTATTCGCATATAACATGTAAATTATTACTTGGATCTTGAATCCTTTTTACTTTTCTTAAATTCTTAGAACATTTTTTTTCTCAAGTTTGATTTTCTTCTTATAATCTGGATCATCTGGACGCATGTAGCTTTTAACACTACATTAAAGTTTGCCAGTGAAGATGAAATTCTAAAAGTTAGTTATAAAAGAAAGCTTGTATGAATACGTTCCCAATGGACGCCGAATAACTAAGTCATTGTTAAACGAACCAGAAACCCGACAATTCTAGAATACAGTTAATCATCAATTTTAAGCACATATTTACTACCCACGTGACCTATTACATTGTACATGAGTCACATTTCAACATAATTGTTTGTCATTAACGTGGTCAGTACTGAATAATGTATAAGTTTGATGTAACAAGCTATTGATTTAAAATATCGCGAATAGATCTTAAAAACACGGAAAAGGCATTCCCAAAAGATTTACAACACGCGAATTAACAGGAAGTGGATCAATAATCTTTACCAGAATGGACTAGCCTTGTCTTCAATTAACAAAGGGTTGTAAGAACTTTAAAGGAACTCCACTGAGGTATAAAAGCCTAATTACATTAAATATGAATTTGTATATATAGATCAGATCAGTTGAGGCACTTTAAATAAATAGATATGCAAACGGTTATTAAGAAATATACTTAGAAATACATGTAAATTGAAAAATATATATTCTTAGCCCGATTTGAGTGAAAAGTGTTGCAACGCTTTTTAATTTTGGGTCATTTATTCACAATTAGAATAACTATTCTGGAAAAACGGAGTGAATGAATGATCTGAAATTTTGCACACAAGTTATGGGTCTACACGCCTATGGTCTGCACTGTTCGCTATTTGGTCAGTTTAGAACTGACCTAGATTTAAACTATCATTTGTGATTTTTTTCTGATGACAAAAAATGTCAATGTGAAGGTGCATCGAAAAAGCTTTTTCATTGACACGCGGTTGCAGAACAAAACAAGATTCGGACTATGTATGTAAGAAATTTGTTATGTCATTCACTGTTGCGTTCATAAACATAGGGATTCGTTTTATTTTCAGGTAAATGTCAAATGACATTGAATTGATGCACTCAGTGTGATTTGAAAAAAAAGTTCACTGTGTGTCATTTAAAAAATGTTGATCTATCACATTTATAACTTTTCCATCTTGAGAAAATATAACAAATGAAATTTTAAAGGCACATGCTACAGTTACATAGAAATAAAGCATGTTGAAAACTTGATAAAAGAATTGATTTTGTTAAAACTTTGAATGAGCTTTGATGAAAAATAAGTATATATGACAACTTACAATGTATATATTTACAACACTGCACCTTTTACAATTCTGGAACCGAAATTATTTTTACTAGTGTATCATCCTTGCAGAGTGAACCAGCTCATTACTAATGACTAAGTTTAGAAATTCCAGGCTTGATATACCAGATTAATAGACATTTAAAAAAAATCGGGAGTTTTGAAAAGTAAATTTCACAAATTCAGCGGGTAAGATAAGACTTGCAAATATGTATAGTCTTACCAGTGCCAGAATTGTCGGCTGCTCAAGTTTAATCTTTTTAAGTTTAATCTTTTTTTTTCTTTTTTTTTTTGCAGCCCATCACATTACCTTTTCTATTACAAGTAGAGTTTGTCGAATATAGAAATTAAATGCGAACTTTGGCGAAAAATGCCCCAAGGTTAACCGTAAATATTTGAAAACAAAGTGTGAAATTTATCTTCAATATTTGATGCATATAAAACGTATTTGAAACGTCGATGTTTAAGAAATTTGAAATAATTCTGTCATATATCATTCTATACAGAGAATGAAAAGTGGAATAAAGTTAAAACACAAAATTTCCCAAGAAATTATATATGGTATTTTTAAAATTTCATTGCGGACTTAAAAAGATCGAAACTGATACCCGTCCGGTTTGCATTACTATTGTCGTATATAAACCAATTCAAGTCATTTCTGTTAAAATTAGCCTTCTTATCAATAACAATAAGGCAAAGGCATATTTTTAAGTCTGCCCTTTTTCAAAAGGGCGGACAGCTTTTTGTCCCTTTCTCGTGGAATCCTGTGATGCTGGGGAATCCTGTGATGCGTGTATGAGGTCGCACGGTCACTTTCCTTGTATGTCCTCGATGCGTGTATGTGGTCGCATGGTCGAACATCTCAATAAAACGTTTGCAAAGGTAATTTGATATGGCACCGTCTGGTTCTAAACATACTGTTGAAATCGTAATAAGGACTTTAAAAGCCTCAATACTACTTTTTTTTATTACCTTTCGCCTGTAATTTAAAATAACCTAAATATGAGAAAAGAGATTAAAAATTATTACAGTTTGTAAATTAAATAGAATTTTTTACTCATAATAAGGAGAAATAAACCTAATTACAACTTTTTAACTATAGATAAGTAATTGTAAAAGCCTAATTGGAAGGAATAAAAGAAGCATTTTTTGGAATTGAGAAATATAATTTTTATTAGGAGCAACTTCAAAAAACTTAATGTAAAATAAAGCTTTTTACACCAAAAAAAAAAAAAAAAAATAAGTAAAAAAAATTAGGAATTTTATATATGTCCTAATAAGTGTTTAAAACTCCTAATTAGGACATGCAAAGTCCTGACTAGTTTTTAGACATTGAAAATGTCCTTAACTTACCTCACAGAAGTAACATTCAGTCCTAAGAAGGTTTTTATAACTCTTAATTACCATTTCAACAGTTTTTAAGAACATTAAGATTTTGCACCAGACGTTTCTATACCAACACTCCCTGAAAACGTTGTCGATATATTAGGAGATTTTCAACCATTTGGCCATTTATATACACAGAGGGCATGGCATGCAAGGACCAAATACACACATCACAGGATTTCCCATTCTCTTACGAGAAATGGACAAAGAGTTGTCCCCCCTTTTATTACAAGACAGATTTTAAAATATGCCATTTTATTATTGTAATTGTTAATTAAGAAGGCTTATTTTCACAAAAATGTCTTGAAATGGTTTATTTAAATTCCATTTTTTAGAACTGTCTATCAATCTGGGAACATCAAGATTGAAATTTCTAAAAGTATGAAAGGATGTGCGGCCTGGCATACATGTATCTCTATATTGGTAAAGAATTTCGGTTCCAGCATTGTAGTGCTGTGTTGTTAATAGTGATCATATCTCAAGATGAAAAAAGTATCAATGCGATAGGTGCACCAAAGTTAAAACACTTTTTAATGACACACAGTAAACTTAATTTCAAATCACACTGAGTCCATCAATTCCAAGCCATTTCACATTTCCTGAAAATATAAGGCATCCTAACGTCTATGAACTCAACAGTGAATGACATAACAGATTACTTACATACATAGGAAAATTTCATCGTTCCAAATCTTGTTTTTTCCTTTCACTATGTGTCAATAAAAATCTTTTACGATGCACCTTTCAAATTATCATTTTGTTCTGTAATCAGAAAAAAAATGCTAATTTAAAGCCTCTATTGTGGATAATAAAATAATAAAAAAGAGTGACAGAATGTAAGCAAGTTTCAGAGCATTTTCCACCACCATAGTAAATACATATTTTGCCTACAAAGGCAGAATTTATATTATTTAAAAATAAGACATACTGTGCGATCATTAGCGTCGTTGCGACATATAACAGCGCCTCAAAGCTCGCCGATGATTGGCTGTGTGAAAGGTCACCAGAAAATGATTTTGTATTTGGTCACGGTCAGATCTAAAAGCAGAATGTTATTTAGAGATGATTTTAATCAGATTGACTTATGATATTAATGCAGAAATCTTATTGTTATTTCAATTCAGAAATCTTATTGTTCTTCCAGAAATCCTGGTTTAGTTCTAGTAAAGAAGTTTGGACAGGATGGCCAAAACAGGTAAATGTTACTTTATTAATTTTATCATCCTTCAAATATTTAACTTATATCTATATAATTTGTTGAACGGTACGTTGACTGTTAACCTTGACAGAACAGGGGTTATGTATATTTCAGGATGTATCACATGGTATATACTGGTATTATATGATATAAATGGGGTTATGTAAATATCAGAATGTTTCACATGGTGTAATTCAGGTATAACATGATACAACGGGGTTATGTATATTTCAAAATATATCAGACGGTTTATACCGGTATCACGTGGAATAAATGGGATCATTTATATTTAAAGACGTATCACATGTTATAGATTGGTATTACATGATATAAATGGGGTTATGTATATTTCAGAATGTTTCACATGGTGTATACTGGTATTACATGAGATAACAGGTGTTATGTATATTTCAGGACGTATCACATGGTATATACCGGTAACACATAGTATAAATTGGATCATTTATATTCAAAGACGTATCACATAGTATAGATTGGTATAACATGATAAAACTGGGATTATGTTTATTTCAAGATGTATCACATGGTATAAACTGGTATTACATAATATAACTGGGATCATTAATATTTCAAGATGTATTACATGGTATATAAAGGTATCACATGATTTAACTGAGGCTTTGTATATTTCAGGATGTGTCACATGGTATCTACTGGTATTACATGATATAACTGGGGTTATGTATATTTCAGGATGTATCACATGGTCTATACTGGTATTACATGGTAGAGCTTGGATTATGTATATTTCGGGAAATATCACATGTTATATACTGGTATTACATGATATAATCGGGGTTATGCATATTTCAGGATGTTTCCAATGGTATATACTAGTATTACATGATATAACTTAGGCTATGTATATTTCAGGATATATCACATGGTATATACTGGTATTACATGATAGAACTGGGATTTTATTGGAGTTTGATTTTCACGTTAGTCAGTGACCATAAAAGAGCGGTAAGATAAATTTTAATTGTTTGTTTCTATTTGTTACTTTAAATGAGATAAGGAAGAGTGTTGGCAGAGACATATATCTTATTAACATAATATTCATGTTTATCATATAAAAGGAATATCTATCGTATAAATGGAACATATACATTTTGAATGAAACATATACCATATAAACAGAATATAAACGGAACATATACCATATAAACAAAACATGGAACATTTGTCATATAAATGGAACAATCTGTCATATAAATGGAACATCTGTCATATAAATGGAACATCTGTCATATTAATGGAACATATACCATATGAACGGAAAATATATCATTAAAATTGAACAGGTATCATATAAATAAAACACTTAAGAACATATATATCATATAATCGGAACATCTGTCATGTAAACGGAACATCTGTCATATAAATCGAACATATATAAACGGAACATCTGTCATATAAACGGGACATCTGTCATATAAACGGAACATATATCATATAAACGGAACATATATCATATAAACGGAACATATATCATTTAAACGGAACATCTGTCATATAAACGGAACAGCTGTCATATAAACGGAACATCTGTCATAAAAACGGAACATATATCATATAAACGGAACATATATCATATAAACGGAACATATATAAACGGAACATATATCATATAAACGGAACATATATCATATAAAATGAACATTTATAAACGGAACATCTATTATATAAACGAAATATCTATCAAATGAATAGAACATTTATCATAAGGTCCCTTAGAAAATCACAAATGACAGTGTAGACTGTAGAATAAACCTTGACGTTGATATTTTTTCTATATTTTTACTAAAATACACAAAACGTCGTATAACTTTCACGACTAGCATAATACCTAAAACTATAACACCGAAAATTGGACAGTTAAGATTTTTTACGCTGTAAAACTGTAAGTTAACCAGATATATAATGAAATATGTGTCTAGCGCGTGCTTAGCAAAATGTTTTAGGTGAACCAGAGGCTGTGAGTTGTTCCATCTGTAAATTGTATTGGTAGACAAAACAAACCTAGCTGATAGGTTGGATTATCTCCGATATGTACGTTACTCAAGCCAATATTTTGTACAATTAACTTCAATAATTAATGATAATAACGCAACAGACATTATAAATTATCCATCAATATTCTAAATATATTTCATTTCTGGCCATGGCTATAGATTTCTGCCCCAGCATAGATAATATTATTCCTTCAACACATACAGCTGCCTAGCTTTGCCTGCAAAATGTGTTTGACTCTTTATGGAACTAGCATGTAGTATAAACTTTTGTCTTCCTAAACACTTAAAGCAGCATACATCCAGATATATGATAATTTTCATGAAAATTTTGAAAATGTATCAAAAAAGTTATAATTGTCAAGTGAACAAAGAAAGTTATTTACACATTGAAACAGCACTCCGGTCCTCAAAAACTACTTAAATAAAGGTCACAATTTCCAAAAATAGCCCTATGTTAGTTACTGCAGTAGAAATATAGTGATAATATACTATAAAATCAGTTATTCATGCAAATAATTACTTAAATTTTGAATATTTGTACTTCTCTGAAAATCTTAGTACATTTTTCTTAAAGTTAATTTTCTTTATAGGGACGGGAGGCTTATATGGAGGCATGCAGTTCTAAACGTGAAATAACATATTTTGTGACATACCTTTAAACCGAACTCAATGGCGCTTGATATATCTGATTAAACCACTTCAAACATTATCAACACCAAAAATAAAGGCCAAAGATACATTGTTTTTACAGACACGGTCTATTCATAATGTTAAAATTTTAAATTCAATTGGTATTTAAAAGAAATCAAATTGTCTTGGAAATTGAAACGAATATTCAGACATGCCGTAAAACTCTCACAATTTATTCAATCATCTTTAATTTCCCCAAGGAACAACGAATATTTCATAAATTTTCTTCTTGAAAATGTTTTATTACTTTGAAAATGTCGCAGTCAGTGTCTTCGGTTGTTTTTTGTAAAAATTTTCTTCTCGTGAGAAACTTGGCTAGAAGTCAAAGTTAAATCTAATTTAAAGTTGTCAAGAACATAATTATTCTCAAGTATGATTCAAAATTAAGTCGATAAAAAAAATTGTTTAAATTCTACTTTTAAGTTTTCAAAAAGTTCTTGAAATTCTTGTCCCTTGAGAACCAAAAAATAAAGTGAACCGTTTATTTCAAACAGTTAGTAAAATGTTTGAAAATGCAGTGATCCTGTATGTTGTAAAAACACTTAAGTAAGATTTCATATATGAATATAATTATTCATCTAAAACAATTTTCAATATGTTAATATATGTTGAATATGTACAGCAACTGTTTATGTGCAATATATGTAATCATTAAAATATATGCATTCATTTCTTATTGAAATATTTGGCTTAGACTTTATAGAAAACAAATTTCTAATTACCTCCATTTATTTACATGAAATGTAAATTTGGTAATATCTTTACTAATCATGCATTTTTGAACTTATAATATTGATCAAATTTATTGGAGCATCATATTTATGATTTAATACCATAAAAAAATTGTGTTACAGGATCTTGAAAGGGCAAAATAACCTTTTATTATATTAAACATTTATTGGTAATATTAAGCATAACACAGACGTTAAAATACATTCATATGTCTTTTACCAGACATGGTTAATTAATGTCCGGAAAGTTTTCATTTAGTTAGAATTTTAGTGCTAAAAGAGTTTTCCTTACACACACAGCGGCTTTGAAAGGTAGACAAACATTTTGTGTTATTTCATTTCTCAATGGTTATGGTTTTGAAAATGAGTTTTTTCACTTCTATAGCTGATATCATTCAGTGAAATCATGTGAAATCTTGCAGACATCTTAAGTATTATATAATGTAAAGTGCGCTCTCTGGAGAAGATTACGAGATTTGTTTTGTTGCGTCATATAGACGATTAATATATTTTATAACACACGGAAAATGACGGAATGTCCAAGTTTCTTTCAGTAAAATCTCATATTAGTTTTAATTAACATCTTATAATATTATTATACATGTATATCTAAAGAGCGTTTTTTTTTTTGAGAAGATGACGAGATTTGAATTGTTTTTTTTTTGCTCTACGTGATAAGGACGCTTAATATATTTTCATAACAAACGGAAAAAGACGAAATGTACCGAAGGTTCACGAAATTATAATAGATGTTTTTTGTATGTATTCTTGATTTTTTAAACTTGATTTATTTTATTTCAGGATTTTACACAGATGTTGATTCATCATATAGCTTCTATAGTTTTGATTTATTTCTCCTGGTTAACAAATTTTGTGAGAATTGGTACGCTAGTTCTTATAATCCACGATGCATCCGATCCCTGGTTAGAGGTATAATTTACAATAGTATATAGAAGATATTGAATGAGTGCAAGTTCAATACTGAATTTATTGCACGAGTTGAATAAAATTATATGATGCGAGCCTGTGGCGAGCATAAATTATTAATATTATTTTATTCAGCGAGTTCAATAAATTTAGTAATGATCTTACACGAATGCAATATTCTTTTTATCACATACCAAAAGTTTTAAGTAAAAAAAGAATCATTTTTCATTGACTTGCCTATTTAGTGTAAGTACTATGTTTTTACAACGGCCGTGCAATATCATTTTTACGGAGTCGCACAATCGGCACGAATATGTGATAAAATATTTCTCTGGTTTAGATGTGTAATATATGTTATAAGAATAGCTATGAAATATGTTTAAATGAAAATTTCATTTTCTTTTTCTTTCCTTTTTGACTTTATGAGATAACGACACTTAACGTCATTTTACAAATGACGTCAAAAAGACGTTAACGGTGTCTTTGACATTAAAAATATAGAGGATATTTATTGTGCATGTAAGATTGAAATTTAAGGGATAGTCGATTTATCTACAATGCAATCATTTTCCATCCTTTTTTTCAGTCTTTCAGATATTGATAAAAAACAATTAAAATGTATTATTTAGATATTTTGATAAGATAACTTTTAAAGGGCACTAAGAAATGCTTTTAGTTTTATTGCTCAATAGCTTTTTGATTTTGATGTATTTCTATGGTATCAAAAAAGTTACTCATTGGCCATATACCAAAATTATCTTTTTCATCTGTTGCTTTTTGGCAAAAAAAACAAACAAACATTTATAGTGAATTAGTATTTGCCTACTAACTTGCCTACTATTTGGTATCGAAGTCAAAGTACTAGGCTGTTTACATTTTGCTTCTTGTATAAGTTATTTCACATTTATCACTGATGTATTCAAGTACATGTAACAAGCAATTGACATTCTCTAAAACAATTATTTAAACATTATAACATTCATGTTTGCCCTCTCTAAAAAAATGTAAAAATTTATTTGTCCTTGAGGCATAATGGGCCTTTAATCTAATATCTTCTTAATCATTATTTCAGATTGCCAAATTAGGAATTTATCTCAAATGGAAGAAAGCTACTGACGGTTTCTTCACAATTTTTGTCTTAGTTTGGACACTATCTCGACACTTTCTGCTGCCTTATTGGTAAGTTACAATCTGTATTTGTTTGTGTGTAGATTGCTTGTACCAAAACGAAAGAATTAATCGCTTTATTGGCGTCCGCGCCGAAGCGCGACGCCTTTTATGGAATGAGAAAGGACAATTGCAACTTTTTGGGCTTTTTCGTCGGTCATAATAGCCAATCATTCCGATTGTTTAGACTTGTAACACATATTTGAAAGCTTTTGGTGATTTTAGTGGTAGACATAATTTGTCTTCCGATACTACGACAGACCGGTGGGGATATCTCAACTTCATGAATTCCCGATTTCATTTTCGTGAATTCACACAATTTTAACTTAGTAAATTCATGTTTTCGACATATACGGAGTTCACGAAGTCACGATTTCAGCTTCATGAATTCTCGATTTCACGAAGTTGAAATCGTAAATTTTTGAAGTTGAAATCGTGAATTCGTAAAGTTGTTGAAATCGTGAAATAATCAAGTAGAAATCGTAAAGACGACAACGTTCATTCACGAAGTTGAAATCATGATTCCGTGAAGATTTTTCCTACCAGTCTTTTGTAAGATGCAGACACTTCCTTACAACATTATATAACACATGGTTGCCCTATCAAAGAAAAAAAATGTATTCTTAGGCTTACTTTTCTTGCCTGTTCTACAGAAGTGATTTATAACGTTTTTTTTTCAGCGTCCTATACCACACCACGTACGAGTATTTAGACTTTGTTGACAAACTGCCATTCGTCTATTACTTCTTCAATTTCTTCCTCTACTTACTGATGGCACTAAGCTGTGTATGGTCATACCATATATACAAGATGGTCTATCAAAAACTACGCCAAGGGGAGGTAATTCAACCTTATCATTTTCTCTAAGAATTGAATTCAAGTTTGTTTTTTTAACATTTGTTCTAAGAATCGAGTACATATTTCATACTTTGTCCTCTGTTTCAAAACTAAAACAACCTAAAACATACATTTGTATTTATTTGATTTCATACCCGCCCTTTCAAAACAGACGAGATGGCAAAAGGCCGCCTTGAAAAAAATGGCGGCAAATGTCCGGGGATGGAGGAAAATCTTCGTTTTTCAATAAAATAAACATGAATGGTCACAAAAGTAATGCAGCAAAGAAGCACCAGCTTCCTTTGTAAGAAGTTGAATTCTCGATTTGTGACCATGACCTTGTTGTCACTCAAAAAGACCTTTATATATATAAAAGGACAATAGCGTCCTTTCTTGTCATGTAACTTTAAAAGATACATGTATACCAAGGGTCAAAAAAACTAATTTACTTTAAAACAAAAAACTTTGAATTTTATATAAATGTTTAAATAGTTCAAAACTTACCCTGTGATTGACCTATGTTTTTTTTCTTTCATATATGGTGTTATAGTGCACATCTGGATCAGCGGAAATCTACATATATCTTTACCGATGGTCAATTTTGTGATCCATATGGGTTCATCCCCGTGTACTAAACAATTTGGTTTAATGAGACCCGTTGGGGTAAAATGTCATTATGACAATGGCTTGATATATTTATATAGATCTAACTAATACAAGAAGTTGCCGCCACCTGGATGTCACTTACTAATATATGATCCAGACTCAAAAATCGAGCTCTTATTTCCGTATAGATGTAAAAAAACAACTTCATTTAACAAACTTGATAATTAAATACTATGAATTTACATGTTTTTCTTTTTCTATTTTAAAGGTAACTGACTCACGAAGTGATTCCGAGGGAGACTCTAGCTCAGGGGAAACAACTTCAAATGGAAGCACCGATAAAGATCACGTTAAAAACGGGATAATTAAAAAGCAAATTTATAATGAAAAGAAATGATAATGATTATTATTTACAGAGCACATAGATTACAACTTTCACAAAAAATTCTTGATAGGAACTCCACTGAGGTCCACTGAGGTCCAAAAGACTAAAATATAAAAATTGAATTTCTTACAAAGCTGCGGCAATTTAAACAGAAAACTATGTAAAAGATATATGAGAAAGATACTCTGAATAAATTGAATATCGTATTTTTGTGCTATTTTTAGCCCGATTTGAGTGTAAAGCGTTGCAACTCTTTTCAATTTTGGATCATTTTTTTCACAATTAGAATAATCATTCTGGAAAAACCGAGTGAACGAATGATCTGAAATTTAGCACACATGTTACTGGTCTAGACCTACATGTACATTAAATGGAACAATAATCTCGAAAAATTGTTCCCAGTCCCGACATGTCAAATAAACCTCAGTGGAGTCCCTGATAATTGATCATTCAAATTAATGTCACGTGACCCGTTGCTAGTTTTCGGTGCTTCTTAGCAATCAATAACACTACATTAAATTTTTCATTTTTCTTCCTTATTTGAAATTTAATATTTTATAGTGGATTGCATTGATTCTTATTGTTAAAGGCGCATTATGCGTCAGGAATCCACAAACCACTTATTAATGAATCTTAAAGGCCCATTATGCCTCAAAACCTTTTTTATTGTTGATATTTTGTTACAGTTACAGTTTACAAAACAATTTTCTCATTTACCATATAGATGAACCATCTTTTGCTTTCGTTAGCAATGGGTATAATCGCAGAGAATGTGTATTTTGTATGGAAGTGAAAATACTACTTTGTTTACTTTTACTTTTTGCTGCCTTTACAACACATTACTACACATTCAGCGCAATTTTCTTCAGCTGTTTTACATCTCATAATTATGTTCTAAATCCATTATCAACAAATTATTAAACTTTTTTTTGTTGACATTTCTAAAGAATTAAAACAAATGGATTTTTGAGGCATAATGTGCCATTTAATTAATAATTTTTTTCGCTGTATTATATTGTATGCGTAATACCTCTATAATGTTCAGCATTTTTACACGTTTATTTATAAATACCTCTACATACATGTAATTTATTTACAGTATATATATTTTGAACCTATAGATACCTCCATAAATTAATTATTTACAATACATGTATATTCATTTATTTCCATGGACACTGCTTTACTTATCAAACGTTTCAACTAATAATTGCAACATATTATATGAATCCGTTTTTATGTAATTTTTTTAATGATACACACCAAAAACAGAATATATGGAATATAGAAAAATTATGACCTTTGTTCACGTTGTTCTTAAGTAAAACTATGATGCAAATTAATAAAATTATTAGAAAAATACATCGGTGGTGTTTGATTTTTCTTACCTCTCTCGATTAAAAAATATATTCATTGTATCTTATACATGTATTATCTTTATTATCTTTGTATTATCTTTTCGAAAATATTGACTAAAACGTTTACCCTATATACAAGCTATTTTAACATTAACAATAAAGTCATCCTGTACAATTGTTATATACTGTGCATATATATTAAGCGGCAGTTACATGTTTAAAGAGAAATATCATCTTCAACATACTCTTTCTTTCAAGCTTTGATATTTTCACTAGATCTGAAAGGTCTTCAGGGGTATTCCACTTTCTGTAACAGACGCCTATAAAAGGGCTTTTCCAAAAAGACATTTTATTTAAAATCATGCATTATTTAAAAAAAAACTTTCAACGTTTTTCTTAACCAAATCAGCACTTTTAGCGATAATTCTTTCCAAAATCAAGAGACCTCTTCCTAATTAAGACAGAAAAAAACCTGCATGGACATACATGTATCTTATTGTTGGTATTGATTTTGTCATTTAAATCGATAATGCAAGACTTTAGTTCTGAATCACATCTTTCAAAATAAGTTTGCTGTTTGTACGACGATTTTGTTTGTTTGTTTGTTTTGGTTTTTAGGTCACGCCGATACAATATTGGTCATATGGCGACGTTCCAGCTTTACTCGTGGAGGGAGACTTCAGGTGCCTCTCCGTGCATTATTTCAGGCACGAACGGGCACCCGAGTAGAACCACCGACGTTCCGTAAGCAAGCTGGATAGCTTACTCACATGAAAGAATCCAAAGTCCATGTGGGGATTCGAACCCACAGCGGTGAGGGGCAAGTGGTTTGAAGTCAACGATCTTAACCACTCGGTCACGGACGACAATAACTAAGTTAAATCAGAAGATTTCAATGGTTTTTCTTGAAATTAGTTTCCACTCATCACAAGTAACACTATGCAAACAAGTTATGATTTTTTGAAGTCCAATTTTTAGTGCACTCAAAAGTCTTGGTGCATTACTTTTATCTTTTTAGTATTTTAAGCATTAATATGTGTTTGATGAGACAAAATTAAAATATGTAGATAGTTAACTATGTACGGGAGGTAAATCTGCAATGCATATACATCAATCTCCACGCAATGATCTCCCCTTAATTCTTCGGTTAGGGTACTATAAAGGGAAGTAACCGCTGCGGGGATCTCTGTAGTATGTACTGTAGAGTTATTCCTCTTATTACTACACATTCGTCTTGTATGTATGTATATGTAGAGGAGAGTCTATTATAAAGAAACAAACAAACAAACAAACACATATATCTTAAGGAAAACCTGACAGAAGTGTGTACTGAACCTTTCAGGATTATCTACACATTGGCACGAAGTCAATTAATAAGCATTGTAGAATAGAATACTCCATATATCATTGAGAAGAAAAACTTACTTTCTCTCATCATTTAAATTCATTATACAGACGTGTTTTTAAATAAGATTGAGCCATGACTTATGATAAATAATTATTGTGTACTCTAAAGCACAAAGGGCGTTTGAATCTACAAAGAAAATTAAACTTAAATTTAGTAATGTGTGATAAAATAAGATTTTTTTTTATTATAGTGGGCTGTACTTTGGGATTACGTCTGTGCTTGAGGTTTACGTCTGTGCTGGGAGGTTACGTCTGTACTGAGGGTTTACGTATGTGCTGGGGTACTCTGTGCAGGGGGGGGGGGTTACGTCTGCGCTGGGGTTTTAACGTCTGTACAGGGTGTTTACATCTATATTGAGGGTTTATGTCTGTGCTGATGGTTTACGTCTGTGCTAGGGTTTTACGTCTGTAGTCTGTACTGGGGGTTTACATCTGAATTGAGGGTTTACGTCTGTGCTAGGATTTTACGTCTGTGCTGGGGTTTTTATGTCTGTGCTGGGGGTTTCACGTTTGTACTGGGGTTTATGTCTGTACTGGGTTTTTTACATCAGTAATGGAGGTTTACATCTGTGCTGGTTTTTTTTTTTATTGAGGGTTTACGTCTGTGCTAGGGTTTTACGTCTGTGCTGGGGTTTTTGATCAAACGCTTCGGACAAGTAATCTAGCTAAGGATTGTTGACTATATGTGGGTTCATTTTTAACTCGCTCAGAACATTTTGTATACGGTGTGGGCATTTGAGATATAGAGTAACAGAGCGGACACAAAGATCTCAAACATTTGCCTTGAACTAATGGCTTTTGCAACTGCATTAAACACGATTAATTAATACTCCGATGGATGAAAGAGATCTTGAGTTTGAACTGACATAAACATATCCTATAAGATACAAAGTTTGACATTATTAAAGACATACAATGTAGCTAGCGTATGAATTCGACTGAATATTATTTATCTGAAGTTTGATGGAAGGACCTGAGTAATTGTGATTGATACAATTTTGTCAGATCCTCAGTTATAATTTATTATTGAAGTAATATAAAAAAGAAGAAAAAATATGAAAAAGTATTATATGAATAGCTTAAGATGAGTGTCCCTATGCCTGACACCTTAACATGATTGTCTCGATGCCGGAAACGATTGCCCTAGAAGAAATAATTGCCCCGTAACCTAGCCGAATAAGATTGTCCTGATGGCTTAAAATTATTGATTATTGCCTCGATACAGGAACATGCTTGTCCCAATAACTAAATAATATTGTCCCGGGACGTGGACATGATTGTCCCGTACATAATTGCCCCGATACATGAACAAGATTACCTCGATACCTTAATATGTTTGCCCCGATACATGAACAAGATTGTCCCGTGGCATGTTTGCCCGGATACCTGAACTAAATATTATCCCGATACCTGAACAAGATTGCCTAGGGCATGATTGTCCTGATACCTAAAAGAAATTACCCCGTAACATGATTGTCCAGATACCGGAACATAATTGACACGCAACATGATTGTCCCAAAACCAGAACAAGATTGTCCTATGTCATATTATTGCCCCGGGAGATGATTGTCCCGATATTTGAACAAGATTGTCCGGGACATGATTGTCCCGATGCCTGAACATAATTGCTCGTAACACGATTATCCCAATCTTTGAATAAGATTGCCCCGATACCTTCATGATTTCCTCGGTACCTGAACATGTTTGACCCGATACCTGAACAAGATCACCTCGATACCTGAACATATATAATTGCCCTGATATATTAATTTACATGATTTTTCGGGGCATGATTGCCAGTCAACACCTAAACACGACTGCCTTTTATTTATTTATCTATCTATCTATCTATCTATCTATCTATCTATCTATCTATCTATCTATCTATCTATCTATCTATCTATCTATCTATCTATCTATCTATCTATCTATCTATCTATCTATCTATCTATCTATCTATCTATCTATCTATCTATCTATCTATCTATCTATCTATCTATCTATCTATCTATCTATCTATCTATCTATCTATCTATCTATCTATCTATCTATCTATCTATCTATCTATCTATCTATCTATCTATCTATCTATCTATCTATCTATCTATCTATCTATCTATCTATCTATCTATCTATCTATCTATCTATCTATCTATCTATCTATCTATCTATCTATCTATCTATCTATCTATCTATCTATCTATCTATCTATCTATCTATCTATCTATCTATCTATCTATCTATCTATCTATCTATCTATCTATCTATCTATCTATCTATCTATCTATCTATCTATCTATCTATCTATCTATCTATCTATCTATCTATCTATCTATCTATCTATCTATCTATCTATCTATCTATCTATCTATCTATCTATCTATCTATCTATCTATCTATCTATCTATCTATCTATCTATCTATCTATCTATCTATCTATCTATCTATCTATCTATCTATCTATCTATCTATCTATCTATCTATCTATCTATCTATCTATCTATCTATCTATCTATCTATCTATCTATCTATCTATCTATCTATCTATCTATCTATCTATCTATCTATCTATCTATCTATCTATCTATCTATCTATCTATCTAATCTATCTATCTATCTATCTATCTATCTATCTATCTATCTATCTATCTATCTATCTATCTATCTATCTATCTATCTATCTATCTATCTATCTATCTATCTATCTATCTTCTATCTATCTATCTATCTATCTATCTATCTATCTATCTATCTATCTATCTATCTATCTATCTATCTATCTATCTATCTATCTATCTATCTATCTATCTATCTATCTATCTATCTATCTATCTATCTATCTATCTATCTATCTATCTATCTATCTATCTATCTATCTATCTATCTATCTATCTATCTATCTATCTATCTATCTATCTATCTATCTATCTATCTATCTATCTATCTATCTATCTATCTATCTATCTATCTATCTATCTATCTATCTATCTATCTATCTATCTATCTATCTATCTATCTATCTATCTATCTATCTATCTATCTATCTATCTATCTATCTATCTATCTATCTATCTATCTATCTATCTATCTATCTATCTATCTATCTATCTATCTATCTATCTATCTATCTATCTATCTATCTATCTATCTATCTATCTATCTATCTATCTATCTATCTATCTATCTATCTATCTATCTATCTATCTATCTATCTATCTATCTATCTATCTATCTATCTATCTATCTATCTATCTATCTATCTATCTATCTATCTATCTATCTTATCTATCTATCTATCTATCTATCTATCTATCTATCTATCTATCTATCTATCTATCTATCTATCTATCTATCTATCTATCTATCTATCTATCTATCTATCTATCTATCTATCTATCTATCTATCTATCTATCTATCTATCTATCTATCTATCTATCTATCTATCTATCTATCTATCTATCTATCTATCTATCTATCTATCTATCTATCTATCTATCTATCTATCTATCTATCTATCTATCTATCTATCTATCTATCTATCTATCTATCTATCTATCTATCTATCTATCTATCTATCTATCTATCTATCTATCTATCTATCTATCTATCTATCTATCTATCTATCTATCTATCTATCTATCTATCTATCTATCTATCTATCTATCTATCTATCTATCTATCTATCTATCTATCTATCTATCTATCTATCTATCTATCTATCTATCTATCTATCTACTATCTATCTATCTATCTATCTATCTATCTATCTATCTATCTATCTATCTATCTATCTATCTATCTATCTATCTATCTATCTATCTATCTATCTATCTATCTATCTATCTATCTATCTATCTATCTATCTATCTATCTATCTATCTATCTATCTATCTATCTATCTATCTATCTATCTATCTATCTATCTATCTATCTATCTATCTATCTATCTATCTATCTATCTATCTATCTATCTATCTATCTATCTATCTATCTATCTATCTATCTATCTATTTTGCTATTATGAACTATCTACTAACTATAATCCTATCTATCTATGAATTATCTATCTGAAGTATAAATAATCTAATCTATCTAGCTAGGGTCTTTCGATTATACTTTTTTGTTTTCTTTCCGTATAATTTCGGTATGTCTGTCCGGAATGAGGACGGGTTTTACACCTTCCAAAGTTCAATGGCCGCTTCCATTCCAGTAATTCCTGCATTTTTTCCTTGAGATAGAAAAGGTAAAGTTGACTTCTGGCGATGCTGTCATTCATATTTTGTCAAATATTCAACATAATCAGTATCTTAAGATACTGGTTGTTGTATTATTGCGCTTTATTTACTTTGCAAAATATCAATTTTTACACAGTGAATAAAGTATGATAACTTTTGTTTTTTTGTTGTTTATATAACTGTTATTTGAACCATCGATGGGCAAGGTCAGCCTTTGCATTTTAATGACAAACAGTACACACACAAATGTTTGCAGTATAATGTCATGAAAATGATGTCTTTGTCAGTTGATGATGATGTGCAGTAGTGTTGAACAGTGTTTAAAGTTGGTAAACAGGTTATATCAGTATATATAACAGTAGAACAAATGATGATGATGATTAAATTTATATTTTGGGTAATGTTGATGACAAATCTAAGAACCCTAAGACAGTAAACAGGTCTTCAAGGACAGTAAACAGGTCTAGCAGTACTATAAAACCCCTTCGCTGAAGTCCCTTTAAAGATGATGATAATAATGATGATGATATGATAATGATTACAGATCTATAATGATAATTTTGTTGATGATGATGATAAAATTTAGGATTTTGATGACAAAGTGATGATGATAATGATATATAATAATAACAAATCTATGATGATGTTAATGATGATGATATTGAGATTGTTGATGAAAATAATTTGATACTAATAATGATAATTATGATTACAAATCAATGATGATGATGATTTAATTTTGGATGCAGTTGACAAATTTATGATGATGACTATTGAAGATGTTGATGATGATTATGTTTAGTATTACGATGATACATTTTGATGACAATATTTAAAGTTAAATCTGCACAAGAAATATTTATTAACTTCATATTACACATTACAGGACAACTATTTGCTGATGGTCTTATTCATACGAACAGCTAGCATACTTGCTCGTACAAATACAATTTTACATCATCTGGTGTACAGAAATATGGCGGTGAAAGTTGGAAACCTTAAATTTTTAAAGTAAGTTAAGATGTATAGACAAATTTGCATATTGACATATATACCACAACATAGTAATTGCCTTTCAGTATCTTTAGTTTTCTATTGAAAATTAATCTATTGTAGTGATTGCTTACTCTAGCTTCTTAAAAAATGTATGTTATACATGTGTTCAAACTTTTTTTCGATGATCAAATGGGAGATTTTTCTTCAAAAAGAGGGAGATTTTAGAATTTGCAATAAACAAAGAAGGAAGTTCTGACATCCAAAGTAGGGAGATTTCTTAAATTTGTGAAAATACCCCTTATTTTAAGAAAAATCTTTGAAAATATGGCTGCAAAAAGTGGGAGTCTCCTGCTAAAAAGTCAGAGAGTTCACATGTATGGTATGTTACAACTTTGAAGTTTTGGCGCATCATTTACTATCGCAAATCATTCAAATGCACAAGTCATGGGTACAATTAAAAAAAAAAAGAAAAAATAAAGAAAATGTTAATTTTGTTTAATTTTAGTCAGAAAGAGGCTCAGGACATAGATCAAGAATTATTCACAGAATATGCCTTTAGTGTTGATCAACTGATGGAGCTGGCTGGGTATAGTTGTGCTGTGGCCATAGCAAAAGTAAGTTCACAATATATATAATAATATATACATATCTTCTTGAATTATTTTTATTACACTTTTTGTTTATTGTAATTCACATTGCTTCTGTAGAGGCAGATAAAAAAAAATAAAATGACCATGTTGGAAAACATTTGTGTTTATTTAAGTTTTTAACTATTTATATGCATTTAGCACTGCAGGTTGTTTTCACTGAGGTTTAAGTCCCACAAAACACATTATAGGTCACCTGGTGACTTTCCTGTTTAACTGGTGGAGGAAGACGTCGGGTTCCGTTCCGTACATTATTTCAAGCACAAACGGGCACCTAAGTAGAACTATCTTCACTCCTTGAGCTAGCTGGATAGCTTCCTCACTTAAAAGAAACCAAAGTTCCTGTAAGGATTCAAACCCAAAACGGTTCAGGGAACATGGTTTTAAGTCATAGACCTAGAAAACTGGGCCATGGACACCCCTAGTTTTGCAAATAAAATTAATACAAGGAAGTTAAGAGGTGGTTTGATAATCTGTCTTTAATTTAGTAATTTCATAACATGCATGTATGCATATTTTTGAAGTGTTATCCTGTTGAAAAGATGACGAAAGATAATGCTGCTGTCCTTGTGTGCTGTGGGCCAGGAAATAATGGAGGTGACGGACTTGTATGTGCCAGACATCTTAAAATGTTTGTATGTATCTTTTTCTTTAGTTCAGTCAGTCTGTATTTCATTTTGTTTTGATTCAATGACGTGTACATGTATCACACAATTGCTTTAAAAGAACAATAAAATAAATTGTGTTTTAATGTTTAGTGTATTCATTTCTACCAAAGCAGCATGCCTCCAGATTCATGCAAATTTTCATGAAAATTTTGATTTTTTCTTTTGTAAACTATTTTCATGAAAATAAGCAGGAATTGGGAGGCTTTGTGCTTTAATAAATAGATTTTTATATATTTTTTTCCTGTGTTTTTCTTTCAGGGATATAACCCCACAATATATTATCCAAAGAGGCCGAATAAACCTTTATTTAATGGTCTATTTAAACAATGTGAAGGTTTAGAAATGCCTTTCCTGTCAACGTTCCCATCAGGATCGCAGTCAGTTACAGACTCGTATAACTTCATTGTTGATGCCTTATTCGGGTTCAGCTTTAAAGGTGTGTGGAACCTATTTTTTCTTTATAATTGTAAAGAGCTTGAACTTTTGTTTACATTCTTTGTAACTTTTAAGCTTGTCTGTTTCCAAGAGAAGGTCAAGCTATTATGATTATTATTGTTGTTTTTGCGCAAAAATGTAGCCCATTATTCAAAAGGTATCAACATGAAACTTGAAATACTTTCTTTGCATGACAAGGTGCAGTTGTTACACAAGGGGACATAATTCTGAAAGCAATTTTTTTTAAGTTATGCCCCTTTTTAACTTGAATTTTTGTCAAAAGTGTTGATTTTAGCAGATGAGTGTTTTAGCACCGCATGTGTCTTTTTTATCAGTTCTTGACCCATAATTGAAAGGCAATTAGCTATATAGTTGATTCAGTCCGATGGTCTATGGTTCCAGGTCCTGTCAGGCCAGAATTTGCCCCTGTAATGGAAACTTTGAAGAATACTGAGTCACCAATCTGTAGCATAGATGTTCCATCAGGTATGTATATTCGCTTCAAATTGTGTTTGTTGTTTTCATTTTTAACTGAGAACTCTTTGTTCCATAATGGTTAACTTTTATGAAACCTGTCACATGTCATTTTTCACAATTCATAAAAACAACATTTCTGTACCCACATTTGATTTGATTACACAGAACAAATTATAGCATTTCTTGGTAACCCAATGTGACCTAATACCATAAATACCTCATGTGACATTACTAAATGTTACTCCATTTAAAAGGATACACTTTTGATGTCAATGTATCTACATATACAAGACATACACAAATTGTCTTAAAATTCTCAACACAGTTAATTTTTACTTTGTAAAAATTCAGAGATACTGCAAAATATTTGATGTCTGCCTTCATTAACGATGTTTCAACTTTCTCCACCATTCATGGCTACTGATGGGCATCCCATTTTCGTTATATTTCTTTCGTCATGTAATACATATTCATGGACTTTTTTTGGGTTTTTTTTATAGCCCATATTCGGTCATATTCCCAATTGAAAATAGTATATTACTTTCCCAATCCACAGGAACGAATTCCCAATCAAAAGTTACAAAATAAAAATATTGAATTACAAATTCTAAAATCTTTTAAAATAAGGGCTTTTTCATGGTTATAGTGCTTAAACATATGAAAATGCCATCCTAGACAGTGATTCTTTAAATTCATTATAATTAATCACTGCAAAATTAAAGTAATGCTTTTTTTCCCAATTTTTATCAAAACACGCTGAAATTCCCAATTCTATTAGTATTGGTCATGTTCCAAAATCCTAGAAAAAACCCCTGATATTTCTGGTATGTGTCTAATTTTCACCTATTTTCTTCCAGGCTGGGATATTGAGACAGGTGATGAGAATGGAATAAAGCCAGACATGCTTATCTCCCTTACTGCTCCGAAAATTTGTGCCAAGTTATTCCAAGGAAAACATCATTATCTCGGAGGACGTTTTGTGCCGAAAAATCTTGAACAGAAATACGCGTTAAATTTACCATCGTACCCAGGCACTGAGTGTGTAATTGAACTTGAAATGGAAAGAAATAGTTAGCACGCCGACATGATTTCAAGTCTGCTCTCAAATAATAAACATTGTTATTATTCTGTATGAGTTTTATCACATACCTGTAAAATATGCAAGAATTGAAAAAGATGTACATGTAAAATCAGTGTAGAGCAAATAGTGTACATGTATGATCAAAATTGAACAGTAAGTCACCATTACAGGCATGCCACTGATTCGTAACTGCAAGAAGCAGAAGTATTATAATACTGCACGTTTGTAACGTCGCTTTTCATTGGATAATCGTGATGTTTATAAAGTTTTATAAACACGGCTGCTGCCGATTAATAAAGAAATCTTGCTTTATTCCTCTAAACATGATGCTTGCTGTCTTATAAATTTGTTTTAAATGTTTCTGACAGGTTATATGGCTGTTTATAAAGGTTGTTTGCAATATAACCCTTGCCTAGCGACTCCGGTTATATATACAAACAACCGTTTATATAGGTCCATATAATCTGTCAAAAATCTTTATAACTATTAATATCAGTAGCAGTGCCTAGTGCTTGTCTAGAAAATACATTATTAAATACATTGTATTTGTGTCCTTTGAATTAACAATGTCTTTTCATTTAACAAGTATGCCCTTTGGATTGTCTTCTTATTTGGGACAGTTATATATATATATATATACTTATAATATTATTGATTGTTGTAAGCCACACTGCCCTCCCCATCTTCCCCGAATTAAAAATGTCTTTTTCTTTAGGATAGTTGTAAATAAAATTGTAAAGTGTTTCAAATAATAACCTTTTTTTAGCTCACCAGAGCCGAAGGCTCAGGGTGAGCTATTAGTATCAAAGGGGGATGCTCCAGCGTCCGTCGTCATGCGTCAACAATCGTCTTCTTCTCTGAAACTACTGGGCATATTTACTTCAAATTTGGTCTGTAGCATCCTTGTGACAGTCACACTTGAATTTGCTCATGTCATTCCAATTGGTCCCTTTTAGGGGTCAGCAGAGCTAAAAATAGAAAAACCTTTAAACATCTTCTTCTACAGAACTAATTGATGGATGATCACCAAACTTTGTCTGTAGCATTCCCGGTAGTCTTTTATCAAGTTTGCTCATATTAATTTTATTGGCCCCTTTTAGGGGTCAGTAGGGCTAAAAATAGAAAAACCTTTAAACATCTTCTTCTACAGAACTAATGGATGGATGATCACCAAACTTTGTCTGTAGCATTCTTGGGTAGTCTTTTATCAAGTTTGCTCATATGAATTTGATTGGCCCCTTTTAGGGGCCACTAAAGCTAAAAATAGAAAAACCTTTAAACGTCTATTTCTACAGAAATAATTGATGGATGATCACCAAACTTTGTCTGTAGCATTCATAGGTAGTCTTTTATCAGGTTTGCTAATATTATTTTGATTGGCCCCTTTTAGGGGTCTCTAGAGCTAAAAATAGGAAAACCTTTAAACATCTTCTCCTACAGAACTAATTGATGGATGATCACCAAACTTTGTCTGCAGCATTCTTGGGTAGTGTTTTATCAAGTTTGCTCATATTAATTTGATTGGCCCCTTTTTGGGGCCGCTAAAGCTAAAAATAGAAATACGGTTAAATGTCTATTTCTAGAGAACTAATTGATGGATGATCACCAAACTTTGTCGGTAACATTGTTGGGTAGTCTTTAATCAAGTTTGCTAATATTATTTTGATTGGCCCCTTTTAGGGGTCTCTAGGGCTAAAAATAAAAAAACCTTTAAACACCTTCTCCTACAGAACTAATTGATGGATGATCACCAAATTTTGTCGACAGCATTCTCAGGTAGTCTTATCAAGTTTGCTCATATTAATTTGATTGGCCCCTTTTAGGGGCCACTAAAGATAAAAAAGAAATACTGTTAAATGTCTATTTCTAGAAAACTAATGATGGATGATCACCAAACTTTGTCTGTAGCATTCTTGGGTAGTCTTTTATCAAGTTTACTTATATTATTTTGATAGGCTCCTAAAGGGGCCTCAAAAGCTAAAAATAGAAATACCTTTAAATGTCTATTTCTACAGAACTAATTGATGGATGATCACCAAACGTTGTCTGTAGCATTCTTGGGTAATCTTTTATCAAGTTTGCTCACATTAATTTGATTGGCGGCCTTTTAGGGGCCGCTAAAGCTAAAAATAGAAAAACCTTTAAACATCTCCTACTTCAGAACCAATTGATGGATGATGCCCAAACTTTTCTGTAGCATTCTTGGGTACTCTTTTATCAAGTTTGCTTATATTAATTTGATTAGCCCCTTTTAGGGGCCAGTAAAGCTAAAAATAGAAAAAACCTTCAAACATCATTCCTACTGAAATAATTGATAGATGGTCACCAATTTTTGTAGCATTCTTAGGTAGTCTTTTATCAAGTTTGCTCATATTAATTTGATTAGCCCCATCTAAGCTAAAGCTTAAATGCCCCAGGTCATGGCATTTCTTCAAATTATTGTTTAAACATATTCTATGCTCAAGTTTAATATGAGAATATATTGACATTCCAACACTGAAAAGCAGTTGTTTCTGGTGAGCGACTCAGAGCCATTATGGCCCTCTTGTTTGGCGACATATTCTTGGATCTCTCCCATTGTATGAGAATTATCATAGTTTTTATCATTTTTTTTATAAAAATCATGACCTTTACTCATGCAATCAAATGTAGCTTGCCACAAGGAATTTTGATATATCATATGTTATAATTTTCTTAGCTTGGCAATAAGCGTCGTCATGATCCTTTTTTTTCTTTTTTTTTTAATGCCACTCTGTACATGAAATTTCAGACAGATGTACATGTAAAAACTGTTTTATAGTTTTTTCTGATGTACATTTTGTATGCCGCAGAACTAAAATCTATGTCAAAATCCGTGCGGATGCGCAGGCTGGTCTGGATCCATGCTGGTCGCAAACGCACTATGTTGGTTTTGTCATGGCGCGGCTCATATATAGAATTGATTGAATTGCAAGAACCTGACAGGAATTCACTTGCAAACAAAAGAAATGTTTATGCATATTCTCAATTCAATATTGAAATAAGGACAAAACTTCTCAAAGTTTTGTATAATTTATTACAAGAAAATGTTAACCAAAATCTGCTCACAATTAATACATGCATACTAATTAATTTTAAGTTTCTAAATTTAAATATGAATTTTAGATCTTAAAATATTTTTTTGTGTCAGATCTAAAGATGTTAATATTATAAATTACTGAATTTAGTTTGTTAATATTTTAAATTAGGCTGACAAACACAGTTGATTAAAACAAAAACAAGAAACAAAACATTTTGACATTTAGTTTATTTTCTCCAAATACAAAGGTGCAATTTAATGAATTAAAGAATAACAAAATTATAGAAATGTAGTGATGGAGATATGAAATAAGTTTTAAAAAAAGTGATATCACATTTTAACAGATAAAAAGAAAACAAGAAATCCCTCAAAATTAACTCTCAAAGAGTAAAAACATTTTATATTCAATATAAACTTGGTAAAACTTAGTAAAAAATACCCCCAAAAATGAATAAAAGTAAAGAATACATAAGGATCAATCTGATTAAAGTTAAGATCTTAAAGCGGACTGTTATTTAGAGCTAATTTTTTATCAGATTGGCATAAGGATTTACAGTTCTCTGCAACATTCAATGATTTTTTTCTCCGAATTTACAAAAAATGAACCCTTTTTCCTGTCTTTAAAATGAAGTTGATAAATTCTACTTCAAATATTTCTAATCATTTTCACAATTCTGTAAAACAAATAAATAAATTTTACTTCTCCAAAACACTTCAGACGTAGACAAATTTGTAAATATTTACCGGAGATAAACTAAGGAGATATGTTATTTCTTTAAAAGTAAAATTGCATATAAAATAATTCACATATATTTATATCTTGAAAACAAACATAACTAAATACACAATGGCTGTATTAATTCTCATATTGGTGCACACAAGGTTAATAAGCAAGTATGACGGGTATCAATAAATAAAATAGAAAGGGGGTAAAGTGTCTGCCTCTCAACCTATGGGTTCGAGCCCTAATCGGATCACGACCACGTTTCTTCATATGACACCAGTACTGGTTGCTTCCAGGAAGCGGACTCGATAGTTTAAATAAATGAGCCGCGTCACGACAAAACCAACATAATGGGTTTGCGACCAGCATGGATCCAGACCAGCCTGCGCATCCACGCAGTCTGATCAGGATCCATGCTGTTCGCTTACAAACCCTATTACAAGTAGAGAATCTGATAGCGAACAGCGTGGATCCTGATCAGACTGCGCGGATGCGCAGGCTGGTCTGGATCCATGCTGGTCGCAAACCCATTATGTTGGTTTTGTCGTGACACGGCTCAAATATGTTTAAACCAATAAACAAGATGGCTCATTGTATCTTAACTTCGTTGATGAACTTATGATTTTATATGACTCTTATTTACAAAGCAGTGTCATGACGTCAGAACCCTTAACCTGTAGTAATTGAGGAATTGCTTTTTAATGCTTTAATTTAGAAAAGTTCATTAAACGTTTAAAAGGGATTTTGGTGTCAGTATCGAGCCTGATCAGACTACACGAGCCTGGTCAGACTGCACAGATGTACTGACTGGCCTGGCTCTATACTGGTGGCAAAGACTAAGCCTTTTTGGTTCCAGCAGGTTAGGGGTTAAGGTTACAAAGTCCCGCTTAAAGGCCCATTACGCCTCAGAAATGAATAAATATTTACTTCTTCAGAAAGGTAAAACATAAGTTTTAATATAGTTTAAATAATGGCTTTAGCGCATGTTAGATGCTTGTTACCTGAATTAAATAGCGCTTAATGTACATGATGTAAAATAACATGTAATAAAAGCAGCAAAATGTAAACAAAACAGATTTTCAAGTTCTGTACAAAATACTAAATCGTTGTAAATGTACTATTTGCCAAAAAGGAACAGAAGACGAAGACAACTTAGGTAATTGGCCAATGAGTAACTTGTTGAAAACTATAAAACAATACCAAAAATAAAAAGATTTTGAGAAAAAAAATAAAAGCGTTTCTTGGTCCTAAAGGGCCTTTAATGAATAAAAAAGCAAGCAGAGCTATTCAAAAGATATCAAACAGAATTGTAAAAAGGGTTCAATATCAAGTTGTAAAAACGTGAGGTAGGGAAAAGATGCTGGTATGTCTACTTATAGTACTTATGAATAAGAATGCAATACGTACTATTATAGAACGTGTGCAAAAACCTCATACAAAAATAAATATGATAATGAATAGTGATAAAAATAGAAACATGACATAATTAAATCGGCACCGACCGGGTAGAACATACGTATGGGTAAGAGTTTGTCTACATTAAGAGAATCGGAGCACATAATTTAGATGGAACTGTTGCTTATAACAAATAAAACATCTAAAAGCAATGGGAAGGGGGATAGATATATAAAAAGCTTGATAAAAATAAATAACCTGGTAAATTGTGCAAGCATTAGATCAAAAAAGAAATAGGTTAATAATTTTATGATTACACTTAGGAACATATAAACAACAAAATAAATTCTGCTTCAAAAATACTTTTGGAATGAGATGAAATAAATGGAGGATATTGAATGAGTGAAAGTTCAATACTGAATTTTTGCACGAGTTGAATAAAATTATATTATGCGAGCCTCTGGCGAGCATAATATTATTTTATTCAATGAGTGCAATAAATTCAGTAATGAACTTACACGAATTTAATATTTTGTTTATCACATACCCAAAATAAAGACCGTTTAAAGCGAAATAAGAATTATTTTTCATTGACGCGCCTATAGTATAACGCTAACATTTAGCGCGTCTTTACACTATGTTTGTATAACGCTAATGACGTCACGTCAAAATATATGCACGGTCGTGCAATACCATATTTACGGAGTCGCAAAATCGGCACGGGTGTGTGATAAATTTCGTTACGGCGTCGAAAGTGATCTTTCACAGAAGAATGTAACGTGAACATTACGCGACGCCATCGAACACGATTTCTTATTGACATCAATAATGTAACATCCGAGTGACGTAACGTCATCCACAAAGTTACGTTAAATGTTACGTCAACATGGCTTAATGTCATTGACCACGATTTTCTATAGGGAAAAACACAATAAAAAACACATATTTACATCAAATAAATTCATTGGAATGGCAACAACATGAAACAGCTCGCACAGCACGATATGGTCGGCATGACGTCACTTCCATAATGACCGATCTAACAAATGGTGACGTCAAACACAAAATCCTTCATTATTCTAGTAATAAACATCTGACTTTAATTTCATAAAGTCGTCATCAAACCATGTTTATGCCAGGTATAACCATGGCATACGGTTTCTGTTCATAAAACTAGATAACGAAAGGTTAAAAATATGTCCCTTTGGACCTGGAACAGTCCCGCGTCAATCAAAAGTAAAGGGAAGTAACTGGTATCGATTTACAAGAAAAGCTCATCCCCGCATACGTAAAATAACGTCGCGCTTTCATTAATAAAATACACCAATTAATTTCTATTAAATTAGCGGCTAATTGGCAAAGCCGTTTGAGTAAAGCGCTGGTGATGATGGTATTGAAAAATATAGCTCTATGAAAGTCCTTCAATTTGTAGACATGATGCACGATGCATATGCATTACCTCCTGCACGTACAATACAAACTCTAACGAAGGTCTAAAATATATATCTATTTTATGTATGCTTCTACTATTAAACATATTTCTAACTGAATGAATTTTGATTAATATTCAATTGCATTTTATAGATCAAAACGAGAAGCCGACAACAGCCGCCCCAATACGTTTTAACATGAAACCCCGCTAGTTAAGTCTTAAGTCATTTTGGACTTAAAAAATAGCATTTTAGGATAGAGGGCAAAAAATGAATATCATAAAACTGTTAAAAATGTAAAATGTTGGTAAATTATATCATTTTCTCCCACATTTTGCATGTGTGTGGTTTTTTTTCAATCCATGGAAGGGAGCGGGGCACCCTTTCCAAACCCATCCTTTTTATTTAGATATATATTAAATTTAATGTCAAAAATTGCCTGTAACGCAACTCCAATTAATTATTATTACATACTATATTACATTCTTGCATATCAGACTGGATAATCTACTGTTTACACCGGTGCTAGAAAAAAAAACAACAGTCTTACAGTCCGGTGTGAGATAAATAAAACAAAATGTTAACCTTTTTAAAGGTTACCTTAAATACATATAATGAAATACTTATTAACATTTGATTTACAAGTTCATAATCTACTCTTGGAGGAAACAGAAATGCCTCCGACATACGCTCAATTCTTTCTAAGAATTATCTTACATAACATATTTTCCATGAAAGTAAATAACAATTATACAATTTATCCTAAACAATTATTTTGGTTAAGATTTTCCGTTCGCCACTGCAGCACCGTTCTCTTGTGGACTTTCTTCTGTCTCCGTGTCGCTCCTCGTGTCTGTTACCTAAAAATAGAAAACAAACATACGTGATATGACGTCATAGAAAAATATTTCCGTTAGATAATGGGCCTATTACGTCAAAGATATACGGGTTAAGGTGCTAGGCGGAAATGATTTTTTTTTTCATTCTCCATTTCAAACAATATGATACGAAAGCAGTTTCTTATTCATAGGCAAGGTCTCTGATTTTTTTTGTCTCATGTAAGCTCCTAAAATAATTATTAACATTCGGAAAAACTATTAAAAAACGTGAACGTAACTTGCAGAAGCAAAAAACACGTCTTCGAGGAGGGAACAGTTTTCCGCTTTGCATATATAACACATACAATGTTGCACGCGATATCTTAAAATGGCGTCGCATACCATGTGGTTCGGAAACCCTGTTACAGTGATCCCAGTAACGTCTTTATTTATAATGCTGCAAAAATGATCAAGTTACAAGTAATATACTTGCGTATTTCAACTTCCAAGCTTGGAAAATGAACATTAATTCATAATATATTTGCGTGAATATATTTACACTTGGGATTATACGTTCTGGAGAATATATACGAATAATAAACTTTGCAACTACATTGTAAATGCTTTGAACAAAGAAAACAAGCAACATATGTTTTCAAATGGAAAAGATTAAAGATAACTTTCGTTATTAGATCAACAGATTCAGCATTTTGTTGCCATATTGTTGTTGTACATAATGAGAAAAAACCCACAGAGATATTCTATTGATGATTAACTAATCGGTCCATGTTCTTTGTATAAATATTCGTTTACAATATGCCTCAGAATTCCATATTTATGTTTAATGTTTTAATAATGGATTTAGAGCATGTTAGATATTTAACAGCTAAAGAAAGAAGCGCTGAATGTGCAGTAATGTGTTGTCATGGCAGCAAAATTTAAACAAAATAGTATTTTGTCTTCAATACAATATGCAAATTTACTATAATTATGCCAACAAAGCAAAAGAAGCAAAGATAGTTCATTTACATGTATATGGCAAATGAGTATTTTTTTTGAAACTGTGACAAGATATTAAAGATTTAAAGCTTTTGTGGAATAAAATGACAGCATTTTTGAGGAATAATGGGCCTTTAAACTTTTTTTCCGCAGCTATTCTTTTTAACCAGATTATGTCTGAATGAGACATTTAATAATATATATGAACGCTGTATAGAGATTGCCAAGCTAGTGTTTGATATTACAAAATTTATCAGGCAAAGATTAGAAATAAATTTCTTTTTCGTGCCGAGCCTTTCATGTTTGTCGCGCTGAGCCTGATAAATTTTATAAGATCAGACACTTGTTTAGTATTCTATTGATCAACTTTGTTTTTTAATATGCGTGTCTTCCTTTAAATTTCAAATGAAACAAAAACCAGTAAACGAACAAACGTTCAATTTGCATTCAATTCACTAAATTGAAATTCTATTTAAGACCTTTTACAGTTGAAAAAATTATCTAAGATAAGTGAAAATAAATATATAGATTTTGACTCATGGTATAGCCCTATCCGAGAGTATTGAAATCCTTCAACACGTGGCATGCTGGGAAAATTGTCGTCTGCTTAAAAGTCGTCTGCTTAAACATTGAATTAAGTGTAATTTTCAAAATGAAAAACAGGTGACTGTTGACCAGCTTGATCACTGAGAAAACGCTGCTCAAGGTCCTTGGCAAAGACTTTTGCAAACATTTTCCGTCTACTAATGGTTGACAATTTACGTACTATTCCAAATTCAAAGCGAGACAATCTCATTTACATTTAGCATTGAAATTGTTACAGCGATTGTGTATGCCGGCGGCAACATATTTTACATATGCGACCAGTGCAGACCAAGATCAGCCAGCACATCCGGTCCGTGTCGTCTGATCATGAACGGCACTGTCGCTATTCAGTCAGAACAGTTTTAGAATATTTTCACTAAAACATTGAAAGGTTTAAAATAATTGAAGTTTTTTTCCATATTGAATGACAGACAGGTTCATTTTAGATATTTATGATAGTAAGTTCACTTTTCGCTCGAAATGTACATGTTTATTCAGTACTGAATAAAACTTTATGCTGTTCTCATGGCAACGAATAAAATGCCGCTGCATCGATCAGTTGCATGACAAGTAATATAATTTCAAATAAAATCTTTGTAAGTGATACCTCTATAATATAATAATAGTTCAAAAGATAATTTAATTTATATTTTATGCATCAAAGGAAGGTCTCTTAATGGTAAGTTATTTATATTTTACTTTACTGTCTCAGAGATGCATAAGTGACATATTAATCATATCAATCATATCAGTTATTGTGAAGCGATCGAAATCCATAGAAACAAAAATTCCTTTGAACTATGTTCTCAAATAACGGTGTCTTAAATGATTCACATATTCATATACGCAAAAATTTACATGAAAGAAAATATGATTTTTTTATACAAAGGTATAAGTTGATTTATAGAATTTTAACTCTAAAAAAAATTAACATTTATAAAAAGGCTGAAGAATTACGGACAACAGGAACACGAATACCTATCGTGTTTTAATTTGGCTTCCGTTCGGGCAATTTCTTTATATTTCTCGTATTTCAACTTCCCTTTCCTTCGGACAATTTCTTAATATTTATCGTATTTTAACTTTTTCTTCCCTTTGGACAATTTCTTAATATTTATCGTATTTTAACTTTTACTTCCCTTTGGACAATTTCTTAATATTTATAGTATTTTAACTTTTACTTCCCTTTGGACAATTTCTTAATATTTATCGTATTTAAACTTTAACTTCCCTTTGGACAATTTCATTATATCTATTGTATTTTAATTTGGCTTCCCTTCAGACAATTTCATAATATTTATCGGATTTTAACTTATCTTCCTTTCGGACAATTTTTAAATATTTATCGGATTTTAACTTTACTTCCCATCAGACAATTTCTTGACATTTATCGTTTTTTAACTTTTCTTCCCTTCGGAAATTTTTAAATTTTTATCGTATTTTAATTTGGCTTCACTTTGGACAATTTTTAAATATTTATCTATTTTGATTTAGCTTCCCTTCGGACAATTTCTTAATAATTATCGGATTTTAACTTACCTCCCCTTCGGACAATTTCTTGATGACGGCTTTTATGAGATGGTACGTCCACATAAATCCAAGGGCAAGGAGTAGGTACAAGAAAAAGTTGAAAAAATAATTGAAGAACGTTGGTTCCCCAAACACTGTCATAATCTCAAACGTTGTGCTGTATAAAATTCTGAAAATAAAAAATATTAAATCGAATTTTTATTATCAATAAAACTATGATTGACTATAACTTCATCCGATTAAATGTGTTACTACTGTACGTCTGCAAAGCAGCACGCTTTTATACGGTTGTTGTAGAAAAGGTTTCGCTCTACAAAGGTTATGTTCATTGTAAAGTCTTTTTTTGGGAAAAAAACTCTTTTTTTAGGAAAAAAAACAACACCTTTTTTTGGGGAAAAAATTACTTTTCTTAAGGAAAAATTACTCTTATTTTTGGGGAAAAATTACCTTTTCACTGGGAAAAATTACTTTTCTTTGGGAAAAATTACTTTTCATTGGGAAAAATTCATACGGTAGTATTTGCACGTTTAAAGGCTTATGACGCGTTTGAAATGGGATATTTTTTTTCCTATTTAAAAGGGACAAATATGTGCTTAATAATAATGGGTTTTAAGCATATATAAGATGCTTAAAACGCCTATAGTAAGTATAGTAGGTACATGCAGCGCTGATTGCGAAGTAATATGTTATAGTTCTGACAAAGGTATTTAACGTAAATAAAGTGGTATTTTTACTCGATTCATTTTTTACTTAATAGTCAAAATGCTACATCACTTCATAACTGCATTAATTCCAAGATAAAATAGTAGCAGAAAATAGTTCAGCTTTAAAGCCACTAAGTTCTTTTTTCCCATAAATTGTAAAAGGGCGCCATTAAGTTTTAAAGAAATGAAAATAATTTTTTTCGTTAATTGGGCCTTCGTTTTTATAAGAAAATACCATAGTATTTATGTACATTGAGAAAGATCAAAGGAAGTCGGCATTGATAGGTCACTACACCCCCACTCCCATCCCCCTAAAATAAGATACATATATATACTAATAATATATGTATTCTTTTGGGGGTTTGGGGTAATGACCTATCCACGCGCCGAACATCTGTGATACAGATATGCACTGTATTCTGTAAACATTTTTTTTTTCAAAACTGGATATCTATGGTAGTAAAAACTGCTTCCAATATCGCCCACATAGCTTTACTGATACGCATTTACAATTAAATAACCCAATTTACTGATTCTGCCAATCCAGAGTTTAATTGAACAGTTTCTAATTGGGAAGAATGGAATCAAACAGCACAATACATCTAATCATCATCTACTGATAGTATAAATGATTAAATTATGAACAATTTGCAGAACTTTATTCTGTTATCGTAATGAAAACTGGAATAGGAAAAAAAACAACAGTAGATTAACTGGAAAGTGAAAAGATCGATGGCGCGTTAGGAGTCACGTGATCTAAATCACGTGATTTAAATCACGTGATTTAATCATAAAATCAATTCTGTCCGGCTGCACTGTAGACTGGTAGATGGAATTTAAAGTTGCATCTGTCTTGCATGTACATACATGCAGTTTTGAAACAGAGAAATTTATCGTCTTCGTTTGGCACACAGAATGGTGGGCGGGGAGGTGTCTCTTTGATCTTTGCCAGCGCGTGAATGCGTCAAAGATGCGTCCCTATGATTTGTTAACAAGGTCACCGTAGAAATTAATTTTTAAAATGAATTTGATAAAACCGTCGGACATTATTTAATTGATTATCTAAATAAAAAACATTCTTAAAATTAATCTATTTCAGAAAAAAAGTCTCTAAAGGAGCAAAATTCTATTATTAGACTTGTCTTTAGTTCTCTATTCTTTCCCATGATAAAAAATAGTTTGTTTGTTGATCACTTGTACATAAAATATGTATACTGTTGGAAAAAGATATGTTTAAACCAATTTTCTAAAAACCTGTTTTCAGTGGATTACTCCGAAGAGCGACCGGCTAGATTATGTATGATACATGTACGTGCCGATAACGTGTTTCACATTTCTGTACTTATCTTATTCGTTTTGTTGGGTCAAATTACAAACGGTATTATCTATGTAACGTGATGAATCGTAACTTTTCTTCCTCTTAATTTTTCTTCTTTAAAAAAAGGCGAAAATAATAAGGGTATGACTCGGTCTACAAATTTTGCTTATTGCAAAAATACTTTTTAAATAAAATGTACTTAGAGAAGTGATTTGTACGTTAAGTAAGGGGTGGTTCGCTGACCAGTACTGACCACTTTGGACAGGGAGAATAGTAAAATGGGGTTATTCTTATTATTGGGGCCCGAAAAAAAGATTGATTGCAAGATTAACAAGATATGTTTGTAAAACATGTATGCCCCCTATCAGCAGCCAATTAGTCATGTGATAAGGTTATTATGCATGACTTCTGACCCAGTGATCAAACAATTAATAAGGGTTATCAAGTATCTACTGGTCATGACCTGAACCTTTGACCCCTTGACCCAAAACTCAATAGGGGTCATCTGCTGGTCACGACCAATCATCATACAAAGTTTGAAGTTCCTAGGCCTAAGCGTTTTTAGTTAATTGATCAGAAACCGTTTTTACCTACAAGGTCAATGTGACCTTGACCTTTGACCCCTTGACCCCAAAATTAATAGGTCATCTGCTGGTCATGACCAATCACCATACCAAGTTTGAAGTTCCTAGGCCTAAGGGTTCTTTAGTTATTGATCGGAAACCGTTTTAACATACAAGGTCAATGTGACCTTGACCTTTGACCCCAAAATCAATAGGGGTCATCTGCTGCTCATGACCAATCACCATGCCAAGTTTGAAGTTCCTAGGCCGAAGCGTTCTTTAGTTATTGATCGGAAACCGTTTTTACTTACAATGTCAATGTGAGCTTGACCTTTGACCCCTTGATCCCAAAATCAATAGGGGTAATCTGCTGGTCATGACAAATCACCATACCAAGTTTGAAGTTCCTAGACCTTAGCGTTCTTTAGTTATTGATCAGAAACTGTTTTTACCTACAAGGGCAATGTGACCTTGACCTTTGACCCCTTGACCCAAAACTCAATAGGGGTCATCTGCTGGTCACGACCAATCAACATACAAAGTTTGAAGTTCCTAGGCCTAAGTGTTTTTAGTTAATTGATCGGAAACCGTTTTTACCTACAAGGTCAATGTGACCTTGACCTTTGACACCTTGACCCCAAAATCAATAGGTCATCTGCTGGTCATGACCAATCACCATACCAAGTTTGAAGTTCCTAGGCCTAAGGGTTCTTTTGTTATTGATTGGAAAGCATTTTTACCTACAAGGTCAATGTGACCTTGCCCTTTGACCCCTTAACCCCAATATCAATAGGGGTCATCTGCTGGTCATGACCAATCACCATATCAAGTTTGAAGTTCCTAGGCCTAAGGGTTCTTTAGTTATTGATCGGAAACCGTTTTTACCTAAGAGGTCAATGTGACCTTGACCTTTGACCCCAAAATCAATAGGGGTCATCTACTGATCATGACCAATCACCATATCAAGTTTGAAGTCCCTAGGCCTAAGGGTTCTTTCGTTATTGATCGGAAACCGTTTTTACCTACAAGGTCAATGTGACCTTGACCTTTGACCCCTTAACCCCAAAATCAAAAGGGGTCATCTGCTGGTCATAAACAATCACCATACCAAGTTTGAAGTTCCTAGGCCTAAGGGTTCTTTTGTTATTGATCAGAAACCATTTTTACCCAAGAGGTCAATGTGACCTTGACCTTTGACCCCTTGACCCCAAAATCCATAGGGGTTATCTACTGATCATGACCAATCACCATACCAAGTTTGAAGTTCCTAGGCCTTAAAGTTCTTTAATTATTGATCGGAAACCGTTTTTGCTTACAAGGTCAATGTGACCTTGACCTTTGACCCCTTGACCCCAAAATCAATAGGGGTCATCTACTGATCATGACCAATCACCATACCAAGTTTGAAGTTCCTAGGCCTTAAAGTTCTTTAGTTATTGATCGGAAACCGTTTTTCCTTACAAGGTCAATGTGACCTTGACCTTTGACCCCTTGACCCCAAAATCAATAGGGGTCATCTACTGATCATGACCAATCACCATACCAAGTTTGAAGTTCCTAGGCCTTAAGGTTCTTTAGTTATTGATCGGAAACCGTTTTTTGCTTACAAGGTCAATGTGACCTTGACCTTTGACCCCTTGACCCCAAAATCAATAGGGGTCATCTACTGGTCATGACCAATCACCATACCAAGTTTGAAGTTCCTAGGCCTAAGGGTTCTTTAGTTATCACTCGGAAACCATTTGGTCTACGGACCGACGGACCGACAGACCGACGGACCGACGGACCGACAAGTGCAAAGCAATATACCCCCTTTTCTTCGAAATTGGGGCATAATAAATGGCAATACGCAACAGGGCTGATATCCTGACCCTCGGGTCCGTTTCCTAGAACTAACCAGTACTGGTATTGTATGAGCAAACGCGGTCGTGACCAAAGTAGAGCTTGAACCGGTCATCCTTGGGCTGAGAAACAGGTTCTTTAACAACCAGGTCACTGCTATCCTTTTTAGATATGAGTGTTATAAATATTTGATATATTGACAAGGTGGACACGCTGTCTATACTTACGCATAGGGGAATATGATATGCCTCGATGTAATCCAAGCAATAACAAAGACAATAAATACACAGTCGGTTGTTCTCTTCCACTTTAAATAATTAACCATCTTTGTAAGCTAATAAAATAGAAGAAAAACAGAAAATATTAAATTGGCCGTACACAATATCCAATAAAATTGCAAATAATATATTTGAACTTTTTTCTTCAAATCCGGTACACACGTTATATGCGGGTCTTTAACACTTAATACATAAATATCTTAAATATTGAATAACTGTCCAATATTTGAATTTGAACAAAACCATTCATTTTTGTAAGGAAAAATCTGAAGATATGTACTGACTGAATAGTGAACAGTGCCGACCATAACCAGACAGCACGGATGTGCCGTCTGGTTATTGTCTGCACTAGTCACATGGCTGATTCAGTCGCCGGTTGATAAATTGAAAGGCACATCATGCCTTAATAACGAATACATTTTACTTCGCGTAAAAGGGCAATCATGGAATTTGAAACGTTTAAATAATGATTTTGTCAGATGCTTGTTACCAGAAGTAAATAGCGCTGAAAAATAATAATTTCTTCATTAAAGAAGTAAAATGTAAACTTAGTAGTATTTTGACTTTCATACAAAATACTAAATTACTAAAACTGTAAAACTACAGATTGCCAATAGCAACATAAGAAAAAGACAGTTTAGACTATTAGCTAGTATTTTTTTTGGAAACTATAAAAGTACACCAAAAATAAAAAGCTTTTGATCGATAAAAAATAAAGCATTTCTGAGGCATAATGAGCCTTTAATTAAAATATTTGAGGACAAAAAGTTGTTTTGCTACTGAAATGTACACATACAAGCACTAGACTTTTTAAAAAAAACTATCAAACAATCTCTTGCCATTATGCAAGAATAACGGCCTCGAGTTTGCACCCAGTAATAAAAACTTTAATATGTACCTGAAAAATATAATAAATATAACAAACAAAATACCTCGAGTAATGATTTTTCATAAACTATTAAACGATCGTTTGCCATTATGTTGGAATATGGCTTCGACTTTGCACTTAGTTATAATTAAGACTCAAAGATGTTAGGCACCTATGATGTGTAAATACATATATGACGAACAAAATACCTCGAGTAATGGGTCTGCAACATCGTGCACGATAAGCACGAGTGTTCCAATTCGTACAAAATTGACCATCCACGAGAAGTTCATCAATACAATAGTGGCAATGTGATGTATAAACATCTGGTAGAAATCCTGAAACAAACACACGTGTTCACATTATTTTTATACCAAAATCATTTCACATTTATGCATATAATATTACATCACTACATCAAAATATTTATTTGACAGATATTCGAATTTGCTGTAAAGAGTATAACATTATATATCTAATTTCTAATTCTATTTTGTTCTCAGGCACGCTTTTTAATCAAACATTCAAGGTCTGCTTTTAAGATCACACAAACAAAACAGCTATCTACTCAATTATTTTTGCAGCGTTCCTTCGTTGGTGCATATTTCAGACTTCCATTCTGTTGTTATTTATTTATTTTATTTATTCATTTATTTATTTTTTATTTATTTATTCAATTTTTTTTTAATTTATTTATTTTCTTATTATTTATTTTAATAATTGAAATTTGCACTATTTTGACATTCGCATCTTCTCTGCTCTTTCGTTGAGATAAAAGCCGAGATGATCCGTTTGTTATTTCGCGGAAGTTTATCATATTAACGGAAATATTACTTACTGCTCTCTTTGGGTCATAAATGAGTGTAAATATCAGGCTCCAGTAGAATGCAAGCTCTATCATATAATACCAGTATACATCGTTGGTGACGTTCTGTAACATGTATTAAAAATAAGTAATCTTACTGAACACATGTTTGATATTTCTAAAGAATAGGGAAAAAAATGGATTTCTGAAGCACAATGGGCCTTTAATTATATATACGTTTATGTTTTTCGTAAGGCAGCACACAATTTTATCCGATGCATCACAACGTCTAATTACTTTCGACTATAGCAGGTCATAATAAAGTATCAGGTTTCTATAAGGTATTGAGGATTGTTTTGAATTATGATTAATTATTTTGATATATGATAGATAAATGTCATCCTCTTCTCTTTCTAATGACCTTCTCAGATATTATTAAACTTATAAATCAGAATACATAGTTTTCCCTGACACAGGCAGACAGTTATTCATATTTTAATTATTTCAAAAACCTTATAATATAGTTTACCGATATTTGCATGTTTTAAATAACAAGTAGGCAGTCCGTAACTTATAATGTTTTTACCCTGATGGAACAGTCTTTGCCACCAGTATAGACCCCGGCCAGCATGCACACCCGTTTAGTCTGACCAGGCTCTTACTGTTCGCTTATGAATTTTAATCTTGCTACCCCCAAAATTGATAATTGACTGTTCTAAAAATGGAAACAGGATAAGTCCATTTTAAGGAACTCCACTAAGGTACAAAAGCCTAAAAACATAAAAATTCAATTTCTTACATAGATCAGCTGGGGGAACTTAAAACGGAAAGATACTCAAATAGAGTTTAAAGAAATATACTCAGATATAAGTTGAAAAAATACTTTCTATTTTTAGCCTTATTGGGTAAAAAGCTTACAACGCATTTCAATTTTGGGTAATTATTCTGAAAAAAAAAACGGAGTGAGCTAATGATCTGAAATTTTGCGTACAAGTTATTGGTCTATACCTACATTAAACAGAACATTAATCTTGAAAAAGATATTTCCAGTCTGGTCATGTAAAAAAACCACCTCGGTTGAGTCCCTTTAAAGCATATTCAGCAGTTTTAATATATAAAAATAGAAGGGGAATAGAATATTTGGACATTACATGATATATGACCCCACATAAGCAACGAATCAACAGCGTAAATAAAATCGCCTGATAATCAATAGAAACTGGCGTCCATTTCGCTCGTTCCACTGTTCGGGGATTATTTTATTGTGACAGACCGAGATAAACCAGATATACCGCAGCAGACGTCAAAATACGACTCCGCGAATGAAGTAGTCCACTTTTATTATAAGGTTCTATATATATTGTGTAAGTTTTGCAGTTTTACATGTAAGCGAGATATTCCATGTTTGGATATTTCCTATACACCTACACTAGCTACATGAGCTTACCAATATCTCAAAACTTGAGTCGAACTCCGGATATTAAGAATGTCACGTCAAGGGAGATAAAACTTGAAATGTTGTTTTTATTTTTTTTTAGCAAAACAACTACTAAAAACATATACGTACTTTTTTCGAAACAATGTGATACCTTTAAATTCTGTGAAAAAATGATAATACTAAAATTGAATTATGCTCACCTGTAACGGCCATCCCACCCAGCAGTCTATAGTTTTACTGAACCATGGTTTCTAAAGCCAGAAAAAAATAAACAATTACTTTTCTTTGAAAATTGTACATCATCATCATTCATCATAATCAATACCAATAACAATACCAACAACAAGAAGTCTAACGTCTTCATCATCAAAAACAATATCATCAGTAACATTTTCACAATCATCATCACCGTCATCATCGTCCTAATTATCATTATCATCATCATCATCATCGCTACAATTATCATCGGCATCATTATCATCATCATCATCAACATCATTACGATCAATATCAATACCATCGTTATCATCATCATCATCATCGACAACACCATATTATCATCATCATCATCATCATCATCATCATCTATACCATCATCAGTATAATTATCATCAACAATATCATCATCATCACCATCATCTATACCATCATCAGTATAATTATCATCAACAATATCATCATCATCACCATCATCATCATCATAATCTTTCTTTTTTTTTTTGAACATCTAGAAAAATCATTTTTAGCCATAACTGAAGGTTGGCCGACAATTTATATATTTATTATATATTATTTATATTTGATATTTTCACTTCAATATCCGAATGAACGATCATAATGAAACACTGTCAACTGTATACAATGGTTAATGTTTTAATTCTTATGAATGAGAATATAAAAAGATAAATATAGGAGAAACAGAAAGGAAGAGCAAGAAAAATACAAGAAAAAACCGCTTGAAATATTGTTTTTATATATATTTATTTAATTTTACCCATGAAATATGGTGCTATATCAGTCAAATATATTTCATATTTTTTTAAAAATAAATATGAAATATAAATATGAAAGTAGGCGGGGGAAATCTTTCGCCATTTTGTTGGAAAAATCTGATAAATACAAAACAACTTTTTGTTGAATTTTGTTTTGAAAACGGTCTAGAATGATAGAAAATGGTCTAAGTAAGAAAATTAATCCGAACACCAATAGAGGATATTCAAGTTTTTTCTATATATAAATGATTTATTTTCATCGAGTGGTATGAAAATAAATATTTCATGAGTTGCGGTAGCCACGAGTGAAATATGGTAATTTTCATGGCAAAGATGCCAAAAAAATCATGTATTTATAGAAAAAAACTTGAATTTTCTGTTTATTATACATTTGTATACATTTTTCTCTTTCTGAAAATTAAAATTTGAAAGACTTTCCCTTAAAGTTTGAGTACTGACAGAATCTAAAAGAAAGTAGTCCGGCAAGACACTAGTGAAAATACGGAAAATATGTTTCACTGCAGTGAAAAATAAATTTTTACATTGAAAATACGGAAAATGAAAATACGCATTTTATTTCATCAATATTTCTCAATATTTCATTTATAAGTATATAATAAATATCTTTTATTCAGTCATTAACGCTGTACAGACGTTTAAAGAGTTGTTTACGTGACGTCACAATGTAGCGCTAAATATCGCGTGCAAAAAACAAGACAATAACTATAATATGAAAAAGACAAAGCCTCAAAGCGAGCTCGATGTACTTTTAACGTGAAATAGTATTAAATAATCGCGCATTTTATTTCAAATGCATTGACGAGTGCGTGTGACGTTACACGTACTGTGTTAAATATGGCTCCGCCCCTGTCGTTAAATGAATAACGAGTTTTGAAAACGTTGATAAAACTTTGTTTATTTTATTTCACTCTATAATTTTTCAAGCGAAATAAAGATTATTAAAAGTGAAATAAATGTAAAACTTAAAACGTTTGCGACATTAAAATAGCGTACTTGATTTGTTTGTTTTGCACGTGCTGTTTGGCGCTACATTGTGACGTCACGTAAACAATACTTTAAACGTCTGTACAGAGTTAACGACTGAAAAAAAGATATTGGCGTTCGGATTCATTTTCTTAGTTAGACCATTTTCTTTCATTCTAGATAGTTTTCACAACAAAATTCGACAAAAAATTTGTTTTTATTTATCAGATTTTTCAAACAAAATGGCGCCTTCAATTTTCATTTTACATTTTCCGTTTTAAAACTGTCATTCGATATTTTTATTCACAGCTTCCGTTATTCTGGTTCCCTGTCCAATTATGGTTCCCATAGACGTGCGCGGGTGACCAGTCTACACATCCGTTTTCAGTCAGAATTCCTCAGTTTTTATCGTTATCTTTAAATTCGAAAAGTTGCGATGTGTCCAATTCGGTACTTCGGACGAAAGTTTTCAAAACCATCACTTACCAGGTACTCGCGTTACCGTAAAGCTCGCTTTGCGAGCAGGCCCTTCGGGCCAGCTCGTCGAGCTCGCTATTACGCGCTGTACAATTGCAGTTGCGTAGCAAGCAAGGGGGTTCGTAACCTTTTTTCTTTGATTATAAAATTAAATAAAAAGGGTTTTTTTTCGTTTTTCGTGAAATATGGTATATATTTCCACTCAACATGATAAAATGCCACATATTTTCACTCGCCGTCCCGGCTCGTGAAAATATGTGGCATTTTATCATGTTTCGTGAAAATATATTCCATATTTCACTCAAACGAAAAAATATCCTCTTAATATTCTACTTACATTTAATATAATGCTATAGCCATAGGTAAATGAAACGGCATAGAAGAGAAAATGCCATCTGAAAGATATATATGAACGATTCATGTAAATATTATATTAAATAAAGGTAAAAAAAAAGACATATCATTCATAAATTTCATACACAATCTTCCAAGAAATGGATACAATAATAGTATCTTTTTATTCCTCCAATATTGAAGAGCATAATAATATTATTTTTTAAAAGATTTCTTTCATGATTTTATATTGTAAGTTTTCCGTTTCGAAAATCTTGATAAAAAAATTTAAATGGACTTCATATATATACATGTACTGCATAAGCTACGTCCACAAAACACGGTGGGCCAGTTTCTAAATCAAATTATTCTTCCCTGCTACCAGTATTAAATAAAACAAATACAATCCATTATGACAGAAGACCATGAATATATATTTGAAAGTTTCGTGCTATGACAAAATTTAGTAAGTTGAACTTTTCAAAGATGCATATAATTTTTATATACTTCTGTACAGAACAGAACAGATCAGAACAAAATCTTTATTTGTAGACTTGAGCTCTACGCTCCTTGTCGTTATAAATACAATACATATAATACAAAAGTCAAATTAATTATAGCATGAATACATGTAGAGAGAGATAAATAAACTTTGTTAATAACATTTTATGTGTAACAAAAACTAATGTAAGTCATAAGTACAATTCGTCAAGTACTTATTGCTCTGACAATTTCTGAATATAACGTAAGTGTTTTTTTAACAAATATCTCTAATGAACGTTATACAGTGTGGCAATACCACGTGACATTGACGTCATTTTCGGCATCATTTCCAAGACAAATGTTGCTCGATTCGGAAAAGAAAATAGCCGTAAATATTTTATTTCTGTACCAATTTCTTTGGGATATGCACCAGTCTACGGGGAAAAATATAAGCTTTCCACAGAATATTGAATCTTCGTCAGTTTATAAGCCGTTTTATCAAACACTTTGCATAACCTTGGAAGTTGCTTGTATTAGAGCGGGCTTCAGTTGCAAGCTTTTTCGTTTTCTGGCGTTATCTGGTCTACGTCATGATTAAAATGTCAGGTTTACAACAACCGGGAGTACGGAAGGCAAAACTCTACCTATATATGTTCATATTTTTATTATGAATGACATAAATCTTAAACTTTTCTTCAATTGTCAATTCTGGCACCAGTTCCAAGTCGAAAAAAAAGGACTACAGTTTAAAGCAGATTTTAGAATCCGTTGCAAATGCAAAGCAACATGCCTACCGTTATCTTTCTATAATTATGTTAACCATGAAAAACATTTTATTTACTATACGATTCACATAAACACAAATGAATATTTAAATGATTTTTACACGCTGCGCTATAAGTGATTTTAAAAGTCGTAAAATTGTTGTCTGCATTTGTAAAGAAATTTATTTGCTCTTTAATCATTGTTCTTTCACGGTAATGATTATGAAAAATCTATTTGTGTCATGTAGCAATACCAAACGTGAAATTGAAAACAGAAACCCTAAATATCACCCAAAACGGCAAAATTGAAAATGTTGCAGGCTCGGATTGACTTAGCTAGGATCACTTCGATTTGTATGCTGTGAAAAGGGCTACGCCTTAACGCGGCAATTTTAAAGTCAAAGGTTATTCTTTTGTAAAGAGTTTATTTATACGTATAACCATATATATATAAAGAACCTGTAGCAATGTTTTAGTATGATAGATTCAGCTTTTTAAGACAGTGGCACTCGTTGATAAAAAATGTTTTTACATCCTGTTTTCATACCCACGGTAACCGTTTTTCGTAAACTGGATATAACTTCGTTCACTTAAGAACACTATTAAACACACTATTAAACACTATCTATTTTATAATTGCATTTATTTCTGTTGATAAACTGCATATCTGACAAATTTAGTTAATTATATCAGTCAACTCAGCTTTATCAGAGAGCTCACCAATATACATTGTAAAGAGAGGAAGGGAACGGAATATTTATGGTTTGAACACATTTAAATCGAGTAGAACTTTTTAACAATAATGTCTCTTTCAACTGAATAAAAAACGATAGGGCTATTTGGGACTATTTCTTATCGATGTGGTCATTGGCTGTAAATGCATGGATTATTGCACGCGGCATGACCCGCAGATGTCCTCAACAGGATTTTTGTAGCATTTTAAGATTTAAAAAAGGACCACACATTAAAATCTAAAACATGATAAACATGACGCATATACTAAATAAGTGAATTATCTGATATGTAAATAAAGAAGTAAGTCAGTTGACAGTTGAAGGATAAAAATTGAACATACTCTTCAAATGTAATGTAGAGTTTTGCCTTCCGTACTCCCGGTTGTTGTAAACCTGACTTTTTAATCATGACGTAACAGTATTAACAGTATTTTTGTAAATCTCATCAAATATTGTTCATAAATTAGGATTTTAAACGGAAAACCCCACGGTAACACTTAAGTTCGTATACGAATTTTAACATGCAAATGAAGACTATAATCAGCTCGTGTATGCGCTACGTCACAGTGTTATAGTTGTTATCCGGATCACAACAAATTAGGCTGATCAAACTCCGAAAAAACTCCATAAAGGGTTAAACTATCTAAATATGATATTTTCTTGTGCAAATAACTTTTACCGTTATAGATTCACGGTGCAATAGGTCTGGGGTTCAGAAAAAGTAATCATCTCATAAAAAAGATTAAATTTATATGAAAACATCCGTTAGAATGCTGAAATACAACAAATGTATGCCGTTAAATTAGGACTGCTACTTATAGTCATGTTTGTTGATTTAATATTGATGTACGGATGATCTAAAGGCGGGGTTTCTCATGCAAACAGAAATTGTACTTCTGATTTCGCCACAATGAGGTTGCACATTTTTATGCGTATAAACTTATTTTGGTTGTCTGGACACCAAAATAAGATCTAGAGTCGATATGAAACCCAATTTATTAATTAAATGTCGCTATTTCTGTTTTTATGAAATTTATTTAATGTAGCTTTAATGCTTCAAATCTAAAAAAAAAAGTTTCTAATCGTATAAATACTAATAATTGATTCATAAGTTCCAGCGGTAGGTATTGAAAAAAAAACACAGTATTCTACTGTTTACTTTCTCAGGCATATGTAAACAATTATCTTTATTTAGATATCTGAAATTCTTTTGAAAAATACCACCTGAATCTATGTATTCATGTAACATGTAATTAAAGAAGATACTGAAGTTACTGTTTGCAGATGTTTGCTGGACAAAAGTTCGTATTCAAGTTGTTAAATGCCGTTCAATTTCAATTCAATTTTATTTACAATAACGCCCCCTTTTATACAATTATCAATTTAATAATGGGTCTTAAGCTTGGGTCACAAATATTTGCATAAAACTGTTTAATTTAGGCATTCCTCGTGTTAAAGCTATTAAAAAGACAAGAAAAAATACTTGAAATACATTTTATAAATTATACAAATCTAACTTATGCGAAAAAAAATCCCATGAAAGAAATATCGAAAATCGTAGAATTTTGCGAAAGGATAATGAAAGCGCGGAATGCCACATTTTGTGATCTTCATTTTATAACTTGTTTAAAAACATGTAAACTTAAAATCTTTTTAAGGTAAATTTGCTACATATCTCCCTCGCAAAACTTACAACACAATACGGTAAATTAAAAAAAAATATAAAGCAATGAAAATAGATATTTTATTAATCTAATATAACGTTTTTAAATATCAGCGATAATGTCCACATTGAAATATCGAGTTGATTAATGAAATATATTTTACATGTCTAAATTTTGTGCGTGCGTATGTTTCAATATATGTTTTATAAACAATTTAAGTACTACATACCCGCTGTCACAGAATTTTTGTAAAGTTGTATGAGAATCTACTTTCTTTCTATTTCTAAACCAAACCTCAATCTGTCTCCTATTCAAATCTGTTTGCTTTGATAATACCTGTAAAAAAATAGATATATATCTTACTGACACTACATACCCTGTAAAATGTAGATATTAAGAGGATATTTTTTCGTTTGCGTGAAATATGGAATATATTTTCACGAAACATGAGAAAATGCCACATATTTTCACGAGCCGGTACGGCGATTGAAAATATGTGGCATTTTATCATGTTGAGTGAAAATATATACCATATTTCACGAATAACAAAAAAATAACCTTTTTATTTAATTTCATGATCAAAGAAAATGGTATCGAATCCCCTTGCTTGCTACCAACTGCAAGTGTACAGCGCGCAGTAATTTATGCGTAAGCACGAGCTGTTTGGCGCTACATTGTGACATCAAACAACTCTTTAAACGTCTGTACAGCGTCTAATTACTGAAATAAAGATATTGGTGTTCGGATTAATTTTCTTAGTTAGACTATTTTCTATCATGCTAGATAGTTTTCAAAACAATATTCAAGAAAAATTTGTTTTGTATTTATCAGATTTTTCAAACAAAACGGCGACAGAAGTCCCTTAAAATAAATATGAGTTTTGACTCCGCCCACTTTCATATTTATATTTCATGTTTATTTTAAAAAAAAATTAAATATATTTGACTGATATAGCACCATATTTCATGGGTAAAATTAAATAAACATCTAACTTTCGTTTACTTTTGTTGAATCAACATGCATTAGACATAGTTTTATCAACAGGGACACATTAGACACAGTTTTATTAACAAGAACGCATTAGGCACAGTTTTATCAACAAGAACGCATTAGGCACAGTTTTATCAACACAAACGCATTAGACACAGTTTTATCAACACGAATGCATTAGATACAGTTTTATCAACACGAACGCATTAGACACAGTTTTATCAACAAGAACGCATTTCATACAGTTTTATCAACAAGAACGCATTAGGCACAGTTTTATCAACACGAACGCATTATCCACAGTTTTATCAACACGAACGCATTAGACAAAGTTTTATGAACACGAACGCATTAGACACAGTTTTATCAACACGGCCGCATTTCATACCGTTTTATCAACATGTACGCATTTCATACAGTTTTATCAACACGAACGCATTAGACACAGTTTTATCATCAAGAACGCATTTCATACAGTTTTATCAACACGAACGCATTAGACACAGTTTTATCAACAAGAACGCATTTCAAACAGTTTTATCAACAAGAACGCATTTCATACAGTTTTATCAACACGGACGTGTTAGACACAATTTTATCAACAAGAACGCATTTCATACAGTTTTATCAACAATAACGCATTTCATACAGTTTTATCAACACGAACGCCTTAGACACAGTTTTATGAACAAGAAGCATTTCCATAAAATTTTTATTAAATGACCGCATTTCTTTACTTTTTTAACACAAAGTATTTCATAAGTTTTTTCAAAAGAACGCTTTTCATAAGTTTTATCAACACGAACGCATTAGACACAGTTTTACCACACACCTGTGCCGATTTTGCGACTCCATAAAAATGGTATTGTACGGTCGTGCATATATTTCGACGTGACGTCATTAGCGTTATACAAACACAGTGTATGTTAGCGTTATACTATAGGCGCGTCAATGAAAAATGACTTATTTTTCACTTTAAACGGCCCTTATATGTGATAAATAGAATATTAAATTTGTGTAAGTTCATTACTGAATTTATTGCACTCGTTGAATAAAATAATATTATGCTCGCCAGAGGCTCGCATAATATGATTTTATTCAACTCGTGCAATAAATTCTGTATTGAACTTACACTCATTCAATATCCTCTATTTATCAACAAAAACGCATTAGACACACCTTTATCAACACGAACGCATTAGTCACAGTTTTATCAACAAGAACGCATTTCATACAGTTTTATCAACAAGAACGCAATAGACACAGTTTTATCAACAAGAACGCATTTCATACAGTTTTATCAACAAGAACGCATTTCATACAGGTTTATCAACACGAACGCATTAGACACATAGAGGATATTTGTTTGTTTTGCATGTAAGATTGAAATATAATTTCACTGAGTGAACACCAGATGCAATATTTCACGAGTGGCGTAGCCACGAGTGAAAATATAATAGCTGGTGTTCACGAATGAAATATATTTCAATCTTATATGTGAAACAAATAAATTTTCTTTTTATTTCATGCTTTTTAAGTGATTCTAAGTATTTTTTTCTATTTTTTTCCGCGTAACGTCGCGCATTCCCCCTTGTGACGTCATCACATCATGACGTCACATTATCAATTTTGAAATATAGGCCGGTTACATTTCTCTAATTTTGTTACATTACTAACATTATGTATGATGAAATCGACTTTCTTTTCCTAAATAAGCAAAATTTACGCATGACGGCATATATTTCTACCTGTTATTCCATTTAGTTATGATTTTTTTTTCATCCGCATTCAGATATAGTCCGGCTACAGTGAAAATTATATTTTGTAAATTTCACTAGTGGTTTATCGGAATATAATCATCTGATATATTACAATAAAACACTGGAAAGCATGAAATAAATTTTTATCAACACGAACGCATTAGACACAATTTTATCAACAAGAACGCATTTCACACAGTTTTATCAACACGGACGCATTTCATACATTTTTATCAACACGGACGCATTAGACACAGTTTTATCAACATGAACGCATTTCATACAGTTTTATCAACACGAACGCATTAGACACAATGTTATCAACACGGACGCATCAGACACAGTTTTATCAACACGGACGCATTAGATACAGTTTTATCAACACGGACGCATTGGACACAGTTTTATCAACAAGAACGCATTAGACACAATGTTATCAACACGGACGCATTAGACACAGTTTTATCAACACGGACGCATTAGACACAGTTTTATCAACACGGACGTATTAGACACAGTTTTATCAACACGAACGCATTAGACACAGTTTTATCAACACGGACGCATTAGACACAGTTTTATCAACACGGACACATTAGACACAGTTTGTATCAATACACAGTTTTATCAACACTAATGCATCAGACACAGTTTTATTAACATTAATACAATAGACACAGTTTAATCAATACACAGTTTTATCAATACGAACGCATTAGACATAGTTTTTTTATCAACACTTATGCAATAGATACAGTTTTATCAATGTATACACAGTTTTATTAATATGAACGCTTCATACACAGATTTATCAACACGAGCGGACAAGACACAGTTTTATCAATACATATGCTACAGACAACAGTCATTTGTAGAAATCAACACCAACACGTACGAAGTTAAGAAATTTAGTATGCAAAAAGTCTTCCAACATGAAGACACATACCATCTACCAGTAAATTAAATCAATGTAAAGCTAACTCTATTCATCAAAAGCTTGTTTACATAGTTCATCGCCTCGTCAACTTTGTAAATAATTCCCGTCAGGACTCTTTTTTTTAAATGAGTCTGATAAACGCAGGAAAACATCGAAACTGAGCTATGATAAAGACCGTGGTTAGCATATTTTGGTCTTTCACATTTCACTAATCATTAAAACACCTCAAGGGAAAATTGTGGAATAGTTTGGAAAATAGAGATATATCTCCGAAGAGGAATAATAGCAAAGCAATCAACGTTAAATTGATGACTTGAAAAAGATTAATGTGTCGCGTTTTCCCCCGCGTCATTGCTATAAGATAGTATTTCATTATCTATACGTAATATTTGTGATGAAAGATGCTGAAGTATACCAGAAGAATAATAAAGATAACAGAATACCTCACGAACACGACATGAAACTAATAACGGAGAGGACATGAAATACATCACGGATGCGATGTAATAGACATAACGGTTAATATGATTCACATCATGGGGATGACATAAAACACTTTATCACACACCCGTGCCGATTTTGCGACTCCGTAAATATGGTATTGCACGGCCGTGCATATATTTTGACGTGACGTCATTAGCGTTATACAAACATAGTGTAAAGACGCGCTAAATGCTATCGTTATATACTTAAGGCGCGTCAATGAAAAATGACTCTTATTTCACTTTAAACGGTCTTTATTTTGGGTGTGTTATAAATAGAATATTAAATTCATATAAGTTCATTACTGAATTTATTGCACTCGTTGAATAAAATAATATTATGCTCGCCAGAGGCTCGCATAATATAATTTTATTCAACTCGTGCAATAAATTCTGTATTGAACTTACACTCATTCAATATCCTCTATTTTCGGAGACGACGTTAAATGCAGTACGTAGTCAACGTAACTTACATCACGTAGATGACGTAAAACCTCATGGAGACGACGTCAACGACATCACGGAGACGACATCAACGACATCTTGGAGACGATATAAATACATCATGGAGACAACTTAAACGACACCACTGAGACGACGTAAACAAAATAAACAAATATCGTTTTTTCGCCGATTATTGCATTTTTTCATTCATTATCATACATAAATCGGTGTAAAAGATGAATTAGAAAACAAATGTCTCTCTGACGTTAACGACATCACGAAAACGACGTAAACGACATCACAGAAACGACGTAAACGACATCACGGAAACGACGTAAACGACATCACAGAAACGACGTTAAAAAAATTATGGAGACGACGTTAACGACATCACGGAGACGACATAAACGACAACACGGACACGACATAAACGACAACACGGAAATAACGTAAACGACATCACAGAAACGACGTTAACAACATGACGGAAACGACGTTAACGACATCACGGAGACGACGTAAATGAAGTAATGGATACTATGCGCCAGTATTTCAACGTGTGCACTGGTCGCAATGGTTATACCCAGTCCGGAGATCAGACATTAAGGCTTTAATACATGTAAACTCAAAATATTTCTTTTAGATGAAGAAGATTAAAGAATGTTTTGAAAGCAATTTATAATACACAAAAAAATGTATTAAAATTCATATCTACAATAGAGTTGTCATAAACTTTAAAATTCGGAGACCTTTGTGCACTTTGGTCATAAGCACACTTACTAAGTATTAGTATAAGTAGTAATTCAACATGTTATTCGAAGGTCAATCTTATCCTATTAGGTCACTTTTAAACATCTAAAATAGAATTTTATATTTAAGGCACGTTCACTTACTTGTATAAAAGTAAATCGTGGTTTGGTTACTTTGGTTTTCAGATATAGTTCACGTATAATTGGCATATTGATATTTCATAAATATGGTATCATATTTTATAACTCCCAAATGAGCTTTATATTGCAGTTTACAATTTCATTAAAACGTGAAATATTAATACGTTTTCACATGCATGAAACAAATTATACGTGTAACAAGCTCTCATGGTGATAAAACTAATTTTTAAGAAACTGTTACCTTAAAGCAGCACGCCTCAAGCCCTCAAGATTCATACTGCTTTTCATTAAAAAATTTAAAAAATATTAAAAAAATAAAATATTGTCAAATGAACAAAGAAAGTAATTAACAAAGCAAACGACACTTTAAATCTAAGAAAACACAAAAATTGGCCAGAATATGCAAATAAGCGTTTACTGCGTTAGTCACGCAGTAGAAATATGCTGATAAATCTTCTAAAATATCAGTCGTGAATTCCATATAATGTTTAAATAATTTCTTGAATTGTGAATATTATAACTTTTCATACATTTTTCTCAATGTTATTTTTCTTGAAATGTTTTAGCTCATCTGGGGGCATGCAACTTTCAATGTCATCACTTCGAAGTTTTACTCAGACACTTTTTCAAGATTCGTGCTTTTTATTTCAATCCATTTTTTTTGGATATTGTATTATCCACTCAAGCAGATGAGGTTTGAAGCCTTAGACATATCTATACCAACAAGACCACGCTTGTATGTCAACCGAGGACCTGCCATGGGAATAAAGTTTTGTGTCTCCGGCTCCAAATCAAACTGCCTAACGGACCGATCGTCGGACAATGAAAACCAAGATAAACAAGAATTTCTCCGTTTTACGCTATACACGACGCAGATAGCTGAAGAATTGAACGTTAGTGAAACTGTGAAATTAATTTGGAGCATTGATAGAACGCGGTACCTATACCACGTGACTTTTCTGTGAATCAGCGTGGGTGGAAAACCACTCGTTCTAACCAATGAGTACTAGTAACCAATACATGGAACATCACTTTTGGAAAAAAATCAGTACTTCTTTTTCCCCTGTTAGATGAAACCTTTCTTTCAGGAATTTTCCTCTTAAAAATGGAAAAGTAAAGACGAAATGATATTCGAATATACCTCAATATCAACTGGCTTCTTTTTTGTCCGTCTGTAAGCAGCTTCTAGAACCGGGTTTGGCACCAATACGGGTTTACGCCGTTCCTGTATACCAAGTTTAAGTGCCAGTGGTCGTAAAAGTATTCTGAAAATATTCAAATTAAACAATCAATTCTTAGTATAATGATGTTGATGGTGGTGGTGTGGTGATGATTATGATGATGATGGTGAAGAAGAAGAAGAAGTAGCAAAAGATGATGAAGATGATGATGATGCTTGTGATTGTTGATATTGTTGTTATTGTTATTATTATTATTTTTGTTGTTATTGTTGCTGTAATTGTTGTTGTTATTGTTGTCGTTGATACTGTTGTTGATATTGTTATTGTTGTTGTTTTTATTGTTGTTGTTGTTATTGTTATCATTGTTGTTATTATTGTTGCTATTATATTTGTTGTCATTGTTGTTGTTGTTATTTTTATTATTATCATTTTTATTATTATCATTATTATCGTTATCGTTATCATTATTCTTTCAACATTTTCTACACAATACTGTTACTAACAGTATTTTGGGGTATATATTTATGGAAGTTGTCTTATTTTTTTTCATTTTTTTTTGTCAACTGAGCGCTTTACCACTTAGGAATCAACATTGTCGTTGATTAAACTCATAACACCTTTTATGATAGCATACATAATCATAAAATATTCAAAATTTGCAATGGTAAAGTAAATAAGGAAGTGTTGACTTGTATTATAAAATACATTGTTTAGATAAGATAAAAACAACATTTTTTGTTAACAAACAGGACACGGGTAAACAAGTTTGTGAGTGTAATGTTAATTACTTAAACAGTTAAAACAATACAACGAACGAGGTTGGGAAATGCAAGTGAATTCACCATACAAGACATGTACAAACAACATCTTACAAGTCTAATTCTATAGTACATTTGAAAAAAAAGGATTGGAATACATTACAAAATTGGCAAAACATAATGCAAAAAAAAAAGTAAAATAAATAAAATCACAAAAAAAAACTCAAGAATAATCAAGGAAACTAATAAAAACTGTAGACCACCGAGACATAAAACAATCCAGAATGTAACCTCAACTACCAGCACACGCCAATATCGTTTGACAACATGAAGTAAGGAAAGACAATATAATCTAGTGACGAAGTCGGGTTCTGACGGTTTTTAGACACATCAATTGTATACGGTGCATTAGCTAGATTAACTGCCTGGGTCATTACTGTTTAGTGGCTATTTCATTAGCTAGAAATTCCCGGAATATACTCCAGAAATAGTATATAGGCGCCCTTTTATCAATATTATAACCAATGTTTGAAAGTACAACATGTTTAACATCGTCTGATCTATATTAAGTTCTAAAATGGCACTTTTATGTTGTAATACTAGCATGACCATATTCATGTGGGTAACACTGGCACGGGCATGTTCTTGTGGTAACACAAGCATTGGCTTGTTCGTGTGGAAACACAAGCATTAACTTGTTATTGTGGTAACACAAGCATTGGATTGTTCGTGTGGAAACACAAGCATTGGCTTGTTCGCGTGGTAACACAAGAATTGGCTTGTTCATGTGGTTACAAAAGCATTGGTTTGTTCATGTACTTACACTTGTATTGGTTTGTTTATGTGGTAACACTAGCATTGGCTTGTTCATGTTGTAACACTAGCAATTGCTTATTCATGTGTCTAACACTTGTGTTGGCTTGTTCATGTGGTTATAAAAGCATTTGCTTGTTCATGTGGTAACACTAGCATTTGCTTGTTCATGTGTGTAACACTAGCATTTACTTGCTAGTATAGCCACATGACTTGTTCATGTGGTAACACTAGCATTGACCTCTTCCTATGTGTAACGATAGCATTGGCTTCTTCATGTGGTAACACTAGCATTGACTTGTTCATGAGTGTAACACTTGCATTGGCTTCTTCAAGTTGTTACACTAATATTCACTTGTGCATGTGTGCAGCTGCGCATGGACATGAAAAAGTTTCGGCCTAGAATCAAAAGACGTTGCACATACGGGCAAAGGAAAAAAATACAACCAAGAATTCGTAGGGGTAGCGAATGCCCCATCAAACCGTTTTAGCGGGTATTTTATCTTAAAGCAAAACCCTTTTGGCCTTAATGTTCTTTAAAATTACCCAAAAAATTCACCCTTTGTAGCAAGTTGAACCGCCAATTTAACGCTATGTTTTGTTCCCCTGAGTAAAGCTACGTATATCTTACGTTTGTTTTTTTTCTGATAAACAAAAGCAAAATATTTGTTATTTTCGTTAAAGGCTTTACATATCTTTATATATGATAACACACACTTGACTAATCTTGTCAAACTTATCACACGAAGAAAAAACAATCTCTTGGATTGATTTAGGAATTAAGTAATCTCTTGACTGAGTTTTTGTATCAACACTTTGTTTACATAACGCACTTATACTGTATTTTATATACCACATAATGTGCAGTGAGTAAATAAGATAAGGGCATTACGTTCAATTTTTCCAGCATTATAAACAAAATTAAACCTTAAGATGACAATTATTTACAAGTCAAATATATCGTTTAATTTTTTTTTCAATTTTTGCCAAATTTAAGGGAAACAAGAAAAAAGGGGTTTTTGGGGGAAAAATGAATCCCCAAACCTTTTTAAAGAAGACATTACGTTAAAATAGTGTTATCAACACAAAAGTCCCCATTCAGTTTAATTCAATTTAAGTACTTTTATTTTACTCAATTGCTGCATAAATTTACTTTTTAAATCAGTTTTAAAGTTCATATTTTATTTAAGTGCATAATTTCACTTGTGTTACTTTCCTAGTTACCTTTAAAAGTTAATTTTAATTCTATATTTAAGTTCTTTTTTATATCTATTTTGCTGCATACATTTCCATTTTAAATTAGTTAGAAATATACTTTTCAAAATACATTGTTCGCTATATTGCCGCATAAATTTCCTTTTTTAAGTTAAATTTACTCCTATTTAAGTACTATTTTTACTGCACACTAATAGCTACATACATTTTCCTACTAAAGTAAGTTTTGATACCAGTTAGAGGTCCTGTATATTGTAATTGAGGTTGTATACCACACTTAAGTGAAAATTTTATATATGTATATAATTATGCTTATAAAACAATTTTCAAACATCGAAGAATATGTAAAATATGTACTACAAATATTAATTTTGTACATATTTGTAATTATGAAAAAAAATATATGCATTCATTTCTTAATGTAAAATTTAACTAAGAGTTTACACAAAATAATTTTTTATTACCTCCCTTTATTTACATAAAAATTTGTGTCACACGAACTTTAAAAACTTGTTTCACTATATCATTTTATTTTCTTAAAGGCCCATTAATTATGACTTAGTAATGCTGTAATCTTCATTTCTCAAAAATACTTTATTTCTGGTCTCTTGATATATAATTTCAAACAAAGTAATTCATTGGCCAATTACCTGAACCATATTTTGCTTCTGTTTTTTCTTTTTTTCTTCTTTTTTATATCATGCTATATATATGACAAAGAATTTCACGTTCATCACTAAATTCTTAAGAAGATAAGCATATTACATGCTCTTGGCCATTATTGAAACGTTTAAAACTCATGTTAGAAGGGACAAAATATTGGTCTTCGAGGCGTAATGTCAGTTGATCGGTGGTCGGTCACTTATTAAATTTATTAAATGCCTGGCGCAGAACTTTTACTTTTTATCACCGTTCTAAAAACGGGTCGTATTAAAAGTACCCCCCCCCCCGCCCTCCCCGGCGGCCAGGTTGGAGGATGATTCATGTCATTTAGGTTAATATTTCAAGGTCAATGTCACTAGAGTTATTAAATATCCAGATATTGCCCAGAGCATATCGTGTATTTACTTATCTATAATGCCCACATCCCTGGCAAAAGCTTTTGTTGCGGGCGTATTTTGCGACAATGTTGCCCTTGTTTAATTTTGCATTTCCTTTTGTATTATTCATACCTATATATTACCTAGATGATTCAGTTTATTTGACCTTCGGATATTTGTTTCCAATTACCGCAAATATTTGATACTGTACTTTAAGTTTACATTAAGTACACCAAACAACAAAATACAACACTGAAGCTACACATATTTGAACAGAGTCGACCACTCTTAAAAATAAAATTATATAATTTCAATATGATAAAATGCATCTTTAAGGTTTTGTGCTTTATTTTGTTATTAATCCATTATTTATTTTATTTTTCGACTAGCTTACATAGTTGTTTTAACTATTAAACCGACGTTATAAACACATCACAAATATGTAAGTGAACATGTAACATATGTTGTACACTTGAATGATTTCGCTACATCTTTCAGCATTGCGATACACGTATTATATTTTTTCTAAATATTCTACATAGCTAAATACTGTTCGTTTTTCTGTTTTTGTGTTTGTCCGTGTGTCTGTCTGTCCCTCATGTTAAAACTATGACAGCTTTTAAACATATTTTCAACAATGCGAATAGCGTAGCCTGTTGTGCTGGCACTCATAATGGAAAGGTAATAAAGTAAACCATTTTATATTAGTTCATTCATTCATTCATTCATTCATTCATTTTCATTCATTCATTCATTCACTCACTCACTCACTCATTCACATTCATTCAAATTGTCGACTTAGTTGCAAATATCTTTTGACCTTAAAGACTCCTACCAAGATCATGATCGTGCAGCCGGCAAAATTGGTGAATGGTTTTGTCCAAATTGAATCACTCAATGATGGACATTTCCATTTAAGATACTTTAAAGCAAGTGATTGACGATTGTGTGATTGTGTTAAATAGAGAAAAAGGTAGGTAAATTTTTCAACACTGTAACATTTATACATTCGCATCTGAAACTGCGTATTTTATCTTGTGATACTGTGATGTGTCACTTACATAATTGTACATACATATCATAATTAACTTTACCTGGGGACATGTTAATGCATATAATTAATGAATATTCATTACATTACGTCTTTAAATTTGCATACATGAATGATTATAAACTTATATATTTGATTATGTGTAATTGATAACACGCTCTAGTTACATAAGAATGAATTAATAATTAGTTTCATAATAAAATATGATTGCTTTCTGCTGTTAGAGATTGCGTGCTTTTCTGATTAAGTTAATTAATTTAAATAACTTAACTATAATTATCTGATAAGATTATTAAATTTTGAAATAATATAATTAACCGAAAATCATTTATATACATCTATCTTGTATGTGTATTTGAGTTTATTTATACTCGCCACCAGTTGCCCGTGTGGGCAAGTCCTCCAGAAGAGTATTAGTCATTTTATATTTTGGATGATAGTGCAAGATACAGAAAGATGACCCAATTCCAGCAGTTCCTTCTGGTTCTTTTGCGTTCCAAGTGTTTAAGCACTCATTCACGGGACCTCGACTAACAATCTCATCCGAAGGACTGATCAGTAATTTTAGTTGATAGTTCATGTATTTCTTTGTAATACTGGCTTTTATATATGGTATATGTAGGGTATTCACGCATGAGTGCGTCTGCAGAGAATGTCATTGTAATTGTACGACTCAAACCCACAACTTCCAAATTTGGAGTCGCTTCTTTATCCCTTTACACTACCCATTATTGCCAAATATTCTACGCTTTTAAAAGCTGGTTTACTTGAACATAAAAATTTGAAGACGAAAAAAATGGTACTTTTAAGTAAAATGTCGGATAAAGTATTGATACAATCAAATGTTTTGTCATTAAACTTCTTGTGCAATCAAACAGGTTCTATTAAACAGCAGGAAACGTGTACTAATCTTTTTCATTCAAGTTTTGTGACCTGCAATGAAGATATAGCCAAATTAAATGAAACTAAAATAGGGCGCGTATGTGTGTTAACCTTAATTAAGATAATTGGTTTAAGATTATATACAGTATATGGGCGGTGATTATCTGCTGATTAAATTATTTCATAATGTAACAAACTATTAAAATAACACGCATAATTATGAACAGGGTTTATTTCTTCGTTCAGGCCATACGTCATATTATGGCAATTTTCCAACTGGGCGTTTAAGGTCCCATGGGTCATCGTAGTGGAGCGACAGTTAGGATATGACTTCAGCGTCTTTCAAATTTTTGAAGGACCCTGATGGTTTTAATGAGATTGAAGATTAAAAAACTTTCCCAGGCTCTAACTCAGATCTCCGGTATTTGATTGGTCAGAAACCGGCACAAAGGATGTACTCTAACCAATAGTCATCTTGATATTCAAGACATGTCTCAGAAAGTATATAACTTTGAACTCAGATGTCCCTCCGAGTTTTACGAAGCCTGATGTCTCCCCATGTCTTACAACTACAGTGTTTCAAGAACGCCCAGACATTTAGCTAGAGTCATTGACTTCCATAAAACTTATAATGTATATATTTGAAAACACGATACATAATATATTATTGAAAAATGTGTTTCTTTTATTAAATGAAAATTGTAAATGTTTGATTATACAGCGTGTGACTATCACCAGACCGGAAAGTTAGTAATAAAGTACGCAATATCGTTAATATAGTTTAGTTATAATGTATACATACTCACACTATTTCATTATAAATCAAACGTACCTGAGTATAATTACGTATGATATACATCTACGACCATGCTTTATCAAAAAAGTATGTCATATTATATCTAGGACTTCTCACAAAATTTGTCAGTGACCGCGCAGGAGTCACGGTTTCGAGTCCAGGTCAGGCACAACGAGTGCAAAATTTCCACACCCTCTGACAAGTACATGTATATAAAGTGACACTTGTACATGCCGCCATTTATTTAAATCAAACAGAAGCAGAACAGCACGTGCATTATCAATACTCCCCATCATTCGTCGCCTACTGAATTATGATGGCTGTATCACAATCGATTTGACCTACATTAAAATTAATTGCAACCAATAGAATTGTAGGTTACAAAACGTCAGGTAGATAAGGATGCTTCCCATTGGTTAAAAGAGTAACTAGCCAGAATTTAGCTCTATTCTTATTAAACAGTACCCAGAATAAAATAATTTGATAAAGTATCATGCCCACTTTTTATAGAAACATTCATGGTATTGCAAACAAAATAATGCACACGTGTTGTGTAATATCAAATAGTTTAAGCTTAAGCGCTTAAACTTAATATCACTTATATTATTCATAATTTTGACTTCAAATTTTAATATTATTTTCATTATTATCAAATAATAATCGTTATCATCATCATCATTATCAAAACTAATCTGCAAATAAGATATCTTTTGACATGCAAAACATATTCAACAAGTATTACATTCAAACCAAAGCCTTAAAAAAAACAAAAATGCCTTTTTTGACATATCTTGTTTTTGTGCTATAAGACATTTTTTTTCTTTCTAACTTGACCAAACATGTATATACTATAAATCATCCATAAATATGGGTTATGGGCTTAAAGACGTTGGCGGGAGTTAAGCTCCAAATATGCTTTGAACATAGATAAAACTTTTTTTTATTTTAGAGTATTACTGGTTAAGACACATGTCTGTCACAATTGATTTTAAAATTCAATAAAAAATTTCCGCTAATCCACTAAGCCATTCATATAACACACGTATAAGCTGCTTTTCATAAATGTTAAACAAATATGTTTATCCCCTTAAATACATTGTGTAAATTTCAAGGTTAAACGCAAATAATTTTTGAAACAAAATTAATATTTTTATAAAAACATTGTGTCGTATATAGCCTTTGTGAGTTATAGTAAAAAGTTCATTACGGGTAAAAACACGTGATAGTTGTGTCTTGCACTCGATTCCATTTCATAATAAAAAATGAAAAGTAAAAGTAAAAAAAGCATAAAAAGGTAACGTACAGTATTTATTGCACAATATGCAAACAAATCTGTGAAAAAATTTACAGTTAAAAAATGAAATTCATCATATTAAAATTCAAATCTTGAATTATTTAGCCTAAAATTAAAAGGATTGGTTGTCGACAGAAATGATAGAGATTCGTTTTTATATTATTTTGTAGACGGTAATATGCTTACTTGACGCGTTTTTACATTACACAACAAGCAGACGACACATTTTAACATACATGTACACGATTTTATCTAATGTAACTTATTGAATACATGTATAAAACGTCTCATTTCTGCTTTCTACGGAAGCTTAGACGGTGCATAAATGTTAACCTCATCTCGTGAAAACGACGCTAATTGCAATACTCGTTGAAGAAAAGACTAGTGTGTAACTTATTATACAAAAACCATGTGCTTCATCAATTCTTTATTCTAATCACGTTCGTAAAACTTCCTGAATTTGAAACCGGTTGGTAATTTGCTTCCGTAATTATATACATATATATCAATGTCTTATACTAAAATGGTCCCCTAGCAAAATTTAAATACACCTGGTCAAAGTATAGAATAAATTCAGATATAGTTTCCATTTATAAACAAAACTGAACGTGAAGGTAGATTTAATGAGTTAATAAATGATTATATACGGGGATGCGGAGAAAAATTGTCTTGGACTTTTAACTTTAACAAAGACTACTTTGGGAACTTATTCATGTATTGATATTTCATGTACATTTCCAAAGTTTACTCATAGCTGATTGACATCACATGAGCTAGGTCATAATGTTATGCAGTGAGTAGTCAAAAGTACATGTAGTTTAAAATGTATTAAATGTATAGCCTGTGTTATGGGGTGAAACTTATTTTCTTGCAAAGGCATCTGTAAATAAATCATCTAAAAGAAGTAAAAAAAAAAACAGACACTACCAGCACAGAACAATTGTATGTTCAACAATATCAAATTCAAGCTAAGTCATCAATAATTGAGTGTGTTTCATTTTCAGTTATGATGTGTTTGACAAATAAAGCTAAGCAAGTTTTTTTAAAGTAATTTACAACAGAAAACGGAAAATAAATCATATGCTAGTTTTTTATTCAAATTTAAGTTTTAGCAACTTCCGCATTCTCTGCAAGGTCGAGCTATCAGAACTCGGACAGAAAGAAGCTGTCGGAAGAAGGGCTCGAATCTATATGAATTTCTAAGAGGGTGAAGGGATGTTACCTAGGGAGCGGGGATGGTTTGCAATGGGGGAACAAGGTAATAAATTATCTAACATACCTGTCCAGTATATATCTGACAGCAACAAGGGCCATTCCTAAAGCCAGGGACCATTGTATGTCCCATATTTGCGGCAGGTATGTTTTTGATCCGGGTTGGTTTACTAAATCCTTCCATCCGTACTTATGCCCCGAAACATTTTTCGGGAACCACCATTGCTCGTCCCAGATCAAATCATAAACCTGTTTTAACGCCATTTATCCGACCATGCCCTGTAAAGTAATGATTTTTTTAAACAAATAAAAAAAAAAACTTCTATGTCATCCTCGCGCACGGTATTGTAATCTATGAATATCTAATGATAAACAATAAACACCGAGGTTGTTCGATTTTTTACTTATATAGTTAATCCGCTTTTTGAAAAGATTAGCCCCTACGTCACCTTTCCGGATTTAACTTTTTTAAGAAAAATTTACGGTCTAGTATACCGGACAACGGATACGAGATATTATTCTAAGAGCAATGAACACGAGCGTATGAAATACACACACATATTGTAAGCTAGAGGATATACACTGTACAACAATACCGATTAGCAATCATTAAATCAATAACTAAGAAGACAGTTTACTCTAATTTCACACTAAACATTCTTACACAATTCAAACACTGCAAACATTTAAACAAATTCTTTTCGCAGCCGACAGTATAAAGTAAATCAATATTTAAGTTTAATGTGAAGGAAAAGTATCTTAAAAGATCATTTCAAAATGAAATTATAAATAACGTACCTGCTTCCGTGTTCAGATACATAAACCTTGTATATTAAATCGTCTGTGAAGTTTAATAACATGTACTAATATGTGTATTTGCACTGACTAACTATTAGTAAACACATATAATTATATTGGGATAGAAATAGTATCTTAACTCCACCTTACACATGCATCAACTGTTCATTTCTTAATAGCTAGGTCTCTCCCGGGTTAAAAACTCTATAATATATCCTGTATGTCGACATTCAAATCGCTCATTCATGAAACCACGCTTCGTAACCAAATCAAAGCGCATACAATATTCGTGATATCATAAGATGAATGAAAATCGAGCCGCATCTTTTGAAACAATTCAAACCGTGTAAAGAGGTGGTTATATTGTTACGCGGCCTAGACGCTCGCTTTCGTACATTGTCTTGATGTAGTGAGAGATGCTTGCGTGAGGTTGAAATCGATAAAGGGATATTATGTGGTGATCTGAGAAAAATGGCGCGCATTTTTAATTTTCGTGTTATGTAATAAAAAGCTGAATTTCTCATGCAAAGCATGTGTCCCGCATCAATTATATTAATACATGTTGAGTCTGTGTACTTGCCCTTTTCCGGTTTCGTGATATCTTAGGGGATTTTTAAATAAATATAGCCATGTGACTTCGCAAATATGAACCTAGTATAATTTCCCTGATTGTTTTATGACAGAAAAAAATATTTCCTTTCACTCAACAATTTTTTGCCGCTTTCTGAGGATATTAAATAATTCAGTATGATTTTTGTTGAGTGATTAACGCTCATTTTGTAGTTTTAAAACCTATAAAAATTGTTTGCTAAATGAAAGTTGCATGCCAAATAAGCAAGAAAATAAAATTTCAGAAAAAATGTTATAATATTTTTTAAAAAAAAGTAAAAAGATTCAAGATATAATTGTCTTGTTATGTGCGATTAATGACTGATTTTACAGTATTTATCCCCATATTTCTATTTTGTGACTTATGCAGTAAGGCTTATTTTTTGCATATTATCATTTGACCTCTTTTGATAATTTACTGTATTATCTGTAAATAACTGTTGTTGTTTTTTCACTGGACAATTTTTAAATTTTAAAATCATTTTTAAAAATTGTCAAGAAAAATTAGCATGTCTGTAAGCATCTGTCAAATTTTCATTTAATGATACAGTCATTAAGGTTAGTCAAATTTCTTCTGTTTTTTTTTCCCACGGCGAAGCTCGACTAACTTAAGTAAAACTACATAATTTGATATATTAAGTAATTCATCAGTATACTTTGAAAGAAGTAGATAATTTTAATATAGGTTTACATATTGCAGTAATAAAATCTTGCTCATTTAGATACATTCACGTGACTATTAAATATTAGAGTGTTAACTACGGAAGCTTACAGGGTGTATGAGTATACATCCACAATGGATTTCTATTTATAACATTTTTTTCTCTCCATATTTTAACTTAAAAAGAATCGGAATAAGTGAAAAGAATGTCGGTACCATTATGTGAAGTATATTTATAAAGAATATGAAATAAATAACAGTAAAAGTTTTGAATCGTCGGAAATGGCAAACATAATCTATCTTTACATATTTTAGCTTTAATATACATGTACACTACATGTATGTATACATGCAGTTTGTAGATATACATGTAGTTTAGAGTATCTTATAGGTAACAGGTAATATGATCACATATAAACTATTGAAATCCTATATAACCTAAAAAACTTACAGCAGTAAATACTCGTGCATGGTTATATAATCATGCAAACACTCTACATTTGCTCTATTGTCATTATCTATACATGACAGGAAAACGAGAATATTTATTAGCGTTTCATTTTCATACAGTACATACAAATACAGTAAAAATATAAAATACATGTACATGTATTTATAAAACCTCTCACGGTGAGTTAAAGCAGACTATACCAACGCAGTTTTTACGCACAGTAATAAAAATATCAAAAATCATATTATGTAAAAAGCAAATAAAACAATAAAATTGTTACATTTCATGGTGTATATATATAAATCAACGACGTTCATTTGAAATATTTAGGCATGCTTTTGCACATGTATTAATAACAAGAACTGTCTGAGGACAGTAACGCTCGACTATTCGAAAAGATGTCACAAGGGTATTTTATTTAGTATAATAATGCTTACCTATATGAATACATAAAATTGTCCGAAAAGGTACAAAGGCTTGTTATTAAGATGTTTTAACGAGTTAATAACTGCTTTATTATTATGATTTCCAAAAAAGGCACAACCCCTTTAGTAGTTAGGGAGATACCAGCTTACAATAAAAAAACTTTACCATTAATTTCTAAGCCCAAAAACGGGCATAAATATGCAAACAAGCAAACCAGAGTTATGGGACTTGTGTCAATCATGTAAGATAATTCCAGAGAACAAGTGTGTGAAGGTTCAATCCATTCCCGTCAGTAGTTATGGAGATACCAGCTTACACGCAAAAACTTAACCAAGAAATTCTAAGTCGTAAAAGGGGCATACATATGCAAACAAGCAAATTGGAGTTATGGGACTTGTGCCAATCATCTTAGATAATCATAGAGAACAAGTGTGTGAAGTTTCAATCCATTCCCTTTAGTAGTTATGGAGATACAAGCTTACACGCAAAAACTTAACCAAGAATTTCTAAGTCGAAAAAGGGGCATAAATATGCCTAAAAACAAATCAGAGTTATGGGACTTGTGCCAATCATGTAAGATATTTACAGAGAACAAGTGGGTGAAGTTTCAATCCATTCCCTTCAGTAGTTATGGAGATACCAGCTTACACGCAAAAACTTAACCAAGAAATTCTAAGTCGTAAAAGGGGCATACATATGCAAACAAGCAAATTAGAGTTATGGGACTTGTGCCAATCATCTTAGATAATCACAGAGAACAAGTGTGTGAAGTTTCAATCCATTCCCTTTAGTAGTTATGGAGATACAAGCTTACACGCAAAAACTTAACCAAGAAATTCTAAGTCGTAAAAGGGGCATACATATGCAAACAAGCAAATTAGAGTTATGGGACTTGTGCCAATCATCTTAGATAATCACAGAGAACAAGTGTGTGAAGTTTCAATCCATTCCCTTTAGTAGTTATGGAGATACAAGCTTACACGCAAAAACTTAACCAAGAATTTCTAAGTCGAAAAGGGGCAAAAATATGCCTAAAACAAATCAGAGTTATGGGACTTGTGCCAATCATGTAAGATAGTCACAGAGAACAAGTGTGTGAAGTTTCAATCCATTCCCTTCAGTAGTTATGGAGATACCAGCTTACACGCAAACACTTAACCACATGGACGCCGACGCCGACAAATGGTGACTGTATTAGCTGATTATTCTGCGAATGGTCGAGCTAAAAACAAATCTCAATTACAGACACAATTTTGCTAATTTCAGAATTCATTTGAAATATTTTTAATACGCAGGTATTTTTTGCACATCTGTTGACAATCAAATCTTCTGACTTCAAATTCACATATTTTTCAGAATCACTGATAATTACAAAAGTCTTTGATTATACCCATTGACTAATTGATTATATTTTGTTGGATATTGTTGTACAATAACATGCCATGAGTGACTGTTCTTCGTTTTCAATTTTATCATCAACTTACATGTATTATGTATGCATGTATATATTATACGCGTGTCTCATTCTACAACTGAAGTAGTGAAATGAAAATTGCAAACACCGTGAAGTCCATGAAGTTGGCACAGAAATCGACATTAAACATTCAGCTCGACATTCGATTTATCACTGTTGAGCTGGTATGGTAAACTGGCAAGACATTCAGCAGAACATTCAGCTCGGCATTCGATTTATCACTGATGAGCTGGGATGTGAAGCTAGCTAGACATTCAGCACAACATTCAGCTCGACATTCGTTTCTTATATTCTTTTTGAATGTCGAGCTGGGATGTGAAGCTGGCTAGACATTCAGCACAACATTCAGCTCGACATTCGTTTCTTATCTTATTTTTGAATGTCGAGCTGGGATGTGAAGCTGGCTAGACATTCAGCACAACATTCAGCTCGACATTCGTTTTTATGTCTATTTTTGAATGTCGAGCTGGGATGTGAAGATGGCTAGACATTCTGCACAATATTCAGCTCGACATTCCCTTTTGGTTTATTGTTTAATGTTGAGCTGGGGTGTGAAGCTGGCTAGACATTATGCACAACATTCAGCTCGACATTCGTTTTTTTTCTATTTTTGAATGTTGAGCTGGGATGTGAAGCTGGCTAGACATTCAGCACAACATTCAGCTCGACATTCGTTTTTTTTCTATTTTGAATGTTGAGCTGGGATGTGAAGCTGGCTAGACATTCAGCACAACATTCAGCTCGACATTCGTTTTTTTTTCTATTTTTGTATGTTGAGCTGAGATGTGAAGCTGGCTAGACATTCAGCACAACATTCAGCTCGACATTTGTTTTTTGTCAAAAATTTTGAATGTCGAGCTGGAATGTGAAGCTGGCTAGACATTCAGCACAACATTCAGCTCGACATTCGTTTTTAGTCTATTTTTGAATGTCGAGCTGGGATGTGAAGCTGGCTAGACATTCAGCACAACATTCAGCTCGACATTCGTTTTAAGTCTATTTTTGAATGTCGAGCTGAATGTTGTGCTGAATGTCTAGCCAGCTTCACATTCCAGCTCGACATTCAAAAATTGACAAAAAACAAATGTCGAGCTGACCTTAGGGTTTACATATATCAATGCATGGGTTAAGTTTAAACGCGTATTGTTTAATAAGATGTGGCTTACTTTGTTGTTGTTGTTGTTGTTGATGATGATGATGATGATGATGATGATGATGATGATGATGGCTGTATTGTTTATATTTTTTTTTGACAGGTTATAGGAAACCCTATATAAACGGCTGATTGTATATATAACCCGAGCCGCTAAGCGAGGGTTATATTGCTAACAACCGTTTACATATACGTACGTCATATAACCTGTCACGAATTGTTTATAACCTAATTTGAAATACAGCAGCAGGACCTGAACTTTATTCATAATTTCACGGCAGCCGTGTTAATAATTTATTTAAACGTCACGGTTATCCAATGAAAAGCAACGTTTCAACGTGCACTGTTATAAAATATCATTATTATAGAAAAACATTGCATTTCAAACCAATAACCTTTATATTATTAGTTTTAAAGATTGTTGACAGGTTATATGGCCCTATATAAACGGTTGTTTGTATATAACAACCGTTTATACAACCGTTTATATTCGGCCATATAACCTGTCAACAATCTTTATAACGAATTTATAATACTCCAAACTTCCTTTTTCAGAGAAAAAATTTATTAAGATTTCCTTATAAATTGA